AAATTACCGGCATACTAAGAAACCTGCTTTGTTGATTCCAGCTTACCCCTACAAGAGATGCCACATTTTGGCAATTTCAGTAGGTACCCATCCCACCCAGTAGCCACCCATTGTCCAACCACAACTACGAGTAGGCTGATTTTTACTCAGTTGGCCCTACAAATACCCACAATTTTGAAACCCAACTATCTATAACTGTTGAAATATAACCTGTAATCAAAGAGGTATTGCCTACAAAAAGCATTTAACTATCATCAAAAAGCAAGGACAAAAAAGAACTTGAATTACTGAAATGTGTTTCTGAAGACTGGACAGTTAGCAGTAATCACATTTATATTTCACAGGTGTTCTATTATTCCACATTCTCCTAAAATGTTTCAGGCATCAACCAAATGTTCAAAATATAGATGACCACAACATAAAAACTACCTACCGATTCGGCCATGTTCCCAGTGGCGGCGGAAGCGGGGGGGCAGCGGGGGCACGGCGCCCCCCATCTTCCAGGGTGGGGGTGCAAACATATCTTTTTGCCCCCCCAAATTGTTATCGACGAAGTACCACAATACTTCCATACTACGTCATGAACATATGCCAGTTTGGCTGAGTACCTTTTTAAGTTAATAGAGCGAGTAATTTGGAATGGATTGATATTGTTGTCAATGTCGTCGTACATATTTTGATCACATTGGCTAGCATTTTGCAGTGCGAGTGTTACCAACCAAAAAGGTTTGCAATAGCCAATAATTGGCTAACTTTAATGACGTCATTGGTTTAAAGGAAGCAAGTTGTTCAACGCGAATAACAGTCACGGTGACAGCCACAGCGTGCTACACGTATTTGAACTGGACTTGCCGCAGTGGCGCGGGAACCAGAGGGGCGGTTCCCGGGAACCGGCTGGAGGGGCTAGCGGGGGCTGAGCCCCTCCAACTTTTCGGCGGGGGGAGGGCTCGTAATGTAGGTATTTCAGACCCTCCAACCGGAGGAATCGAAATCGGAAATCTACCAACATAATTTCATAGATTTATTACCTTTTCGAAATGTTAACCAGAAACAACCTTCATTATGGAGCGTTCTAACGCAGAAGACTGTGACAACATGTAAGCACATATTCATTCTCTAAATATCATACATTTCCACCAAACGCCCTCCACACATAATGCTCAGAAATCAAGCAGCTATCTACGAGCTACCGGTAACCGGAAGAGTAGGACGGAACGCGAGTGGCCCGGCATGCGGACGTCACAGAAGCGCGTCTGAGCGTGCCACAGGCCTTTCCCCGCGACTCTGCCAGACGCCAGCCGGCATAGACTCGTGAGCCGGGGGGCAGCATGGGGGTAGCCTGCCCCCACAACTCTGGGGCCGTGGGGGGCGCAGGCGCTACCCCCACAAAGTTTCATAGGGCCAGGAACCGTCGGGGCAGCTTGTCCTCCCTATATTAGCGGCCGTGGGCCTCAAAGAAAAGCTGAATGGAAGACAATACCTATTCAAGTAAAAAAATCCCCCTCTATACCTGATTTGACAGCTCACGTGTGAAAGCTTTAAACGTTTATTCCAAGTTACCAAAAAGGTAGTTCCTGGACTCAGATGAGACGGGATATCTCACTTTTTGCAAATGTTTTCGTTTCGATTTTTCGTTGTAAAGGCCAAGGGGTGAAAAATAAGTGGCCTAAAACCGGTGAGAAAACTAGATTTGGGGGTACCCTAGGTTCCGGGAAGGATCAGGTGTGCCCCCCCATCCCAAAATACCTTCCGCCGCCTCTGCATGTTCCTAACTGAGGAAGCGAGATCAACATCTGTTTTTTTCCTATTCACCATGGCTTGCTGCTTCGTGAAAAAAATATATGTTAAACTCACTTGTCCTGAGAACAGTCACCAAATAATATGTATAAAAACGGTATAATGCCCCCCATCGAATCTCACGATCCTCTCCAAACACAAGGTTTCGAAACAGATGCGCCATAACAGAGGCTTTTAACCAGCTGATAAAATTGCTGCAAAAAAAAATTGGACTGCAGCACACTGGGCCTGTTCCAGCGCCTCCAGAAACCTCCAGAAAGCTCCAGAAAGCTCTAGAATCCTCCAGAGAGCGTTCCAGCGCCTCCAGAAAGCTCCAGAAAGCTCTCGCCAAAGCTCCAGAAACCTCCAGTAGCCTCCAGAGAGTTGAGAGGTCCAAATTTCTCTGGAGGCTCTGGTCTACAGTTATGGCGCACATGTGACAATCACGAATGTAAACAAAGAACTTTTGACTGAGAATTTTACAACTTGAATGTAAAGAAAATTACATTGCTATAATTTTGTTTATCTTTTTTACTAAAATTGAAAACAAATTTTGCATTTCAAGAGAGAACAATCGTCATTCTTTTGGTATCTTATGACGCCAACCTCCAGAAATCTCCAGATTGCGTTCCAGCACCTCCAGTGAAACCTCTGGTAGAGCCTCCAGTCAAGAATTTCTACTGGAGGCGCTGGAACAGGCCCACTGCCTTGTGAATGATTTTATTGATGTAAATGATCTAACACGATATTGATTTCTAATGAAATTAATATTTGGAGTGTAATTAACTACAAGAAAATTCATTTCCCCTCAGTAATTCAACCAAAAGGGCAAATGAATAATTATTACGTCATCATCTCACATCATTTCATTAGGGGAGAGAAGATCTTAAAAGTCAATCCTTGGTTCTCCAAGCTCTTATTATTTTGCGCCACTTCAACTTTGTATTAATTTTGTCTGCATATTGTGTTTTCTTGTAGAGATAAGGCAAACTGCCAGTTTCATTAATTTTCATTTCATTTTTGGGACCAAAGTCAGGCTCAGGGCTACCTAATACCTGCCTTTTCAGCTGGATTTTCAGTGTCAACTTCTTTGTAGCGTATCTCAGAGTTCAGACCACATCTCATGACTCAAGGCCAGTTTCCAAACAATGTGTTTTGTGGTGTTTTGATTCTGCCTTTTCCCCTATGGAATGTTGTCATGAACATTTATTTATTTTATTGTATTACATATACCTATTACCTACCATTAGACTTACTAATTGATCGTGCTTTTGCAACATGAATGTGTGTTCTTCCTTTTATAGACCACAGTAGGTTCTTGACAATTATAATTATAACAAAACCTGTGAAATGCTGAGGTCCATATGTTACCCCTACCCTTAGCAATGTATTATGTAACTTCTACCACAAAATGTATTTTGCAGTGGCAAAGATTGCTGTTCTTACAATTTGATAACCTCTTAGTGTCCAAAGTTTGAATCATATGCTAATAATTTTTTTTTGTGTGCAAAACAAAAAATACCGGCATGCTACCGGCAAGACATGCCAGATACCACGAAAAAACCTGCGGTAGTGAAAAATAACCGGCATGCCGGTAGTGCGGTAGGGAAACTTTGCAACTCTAGACCTCACCATTAGGTATAAGTCAATGGGGATAAACTGAAAACTTTTTCTGGCGCCGGGAACGATCGATCTCCAACTATCTCAAGCACACCGAATCGTGATTTCATGCACTCCTTGCAAGGTTCGATGCGTCACTTTTGCAATGTTGACCTTGCGCGACGTCATTTATGAAGTTATAAGGGTTTTATTAGTTTTTCGTCAATAACTAGGTACCGATCAAATTGAGCTAGCGAGTCGGGAAAGCCACCTATGGACTCAAGAAGACCTGCCGAATCGAATGATATGCGACATGACCTCCTTCGACCAATTTCGTGACCTGGGGACGCCGACCTGACCGTGACCCGAGGTCAACACCCTAAGTTTACCTCACCCAAACAAAAAGTATATCATTCGACGCGCCTGAGAGAGGCGAACACGATGCTGGCAAAATCGCGCCTCTGCGGCCATTTTTTGCGAAGTTATTCACCAAAAACGGAACCGTGCCTTGAGGCACTTGACCTGACCTCAGAGGTCACCGGTTTTTGTTTGTTTTGTTGGGTTAGGCCCTTTCGGTCCAATGAGACCATTTCAGAGCCGGAAGGATGATAGGATATAGGGGGAGACATTGGTCTGGGCAGGCACCCTAGTGAGTCGCCGGGGCTGAGCCCGTCCAGAGGACAGGCCACCCAAGCCCCAAGGCACTCACTGCACCCGGCTACGGGGTGCGCTCCCTCGGGAGCAGCGGTGCCGCTCCAAGGGAGCAGCCCGCATGAGATAAAGTTGCCTGTCCAGCCCGGAGGGGGTTGCGGTGTGGAGGAGAAGGATTTCAGTATCCTGAGGATAGAAGCACGGAACGGTGTCAGAGGTCACCGGTTGACCTAGGACCATAAAATCGGGTATCGATCTCTGCGTCTCGTAACGGCGCACACGCTCGTTTTACCGCGACGCGCTAGCTCCACCTGGGGCGAAACGGCGAGGGGGGTCGTACCGGCCCCCCGCCCCCTCGGCCAGCGCGTATGTAGAAAACCTATAGGACCGGGCCGTGGAGGGTTAAACTGGCCTCTGAAGGCCCAGACCGTCTAAAAGTCCCACACCGGCCTCTGATAAGTGATAGTCAATCAGCCCAGTTGCAGTGGTCGCTGATATAAAACCTCTTAAAAACGTTATAGGCCTGGCTGAGCCTAGCTGGGCCGTTCATGCTGATTTTTATAGGTATATTGAAAAGACTCGCTTTGCACGTTTCACGCTTGCTCGTAATGAAAAAGTTGCTGGATGCCTCTGGAATTTGCATGGGTGCCAACGGCTGCGGAGGACAGGGGAACGCGTCCATCAGTTTGAGTTTATGGACGGGAGACTCCCTGAAATTTCAAACCATTTTTTTTTCTTTTTTTTTCTCGATTTTTTTTTTTTTTACCTCTGAGCATGTTTGCGAAAACAAAGTGGCCGAAATCCGAGGAGAAATCGGATTTTGGGGGTAGGTTAGGTTTTGGACCACTGGGACCCTGCCCCCCCCCCCCACTTTCGAAAACGTTCCTTTCCTACGCCTATGGTTATATATTTCCTTCTGCTCTCGTTAACATCTTGCGTCCTTGAAGATCCTGTAAATCTGCAAACAACTGGTCCCGGGCAAATACAAACAGGTTATGCAGTGTGCATCTATGGTTGTTCTCACAACGAACAAGGGAGTTGGCCGATATCATCTGATCGTAGTCTCGTCGAATGATGCAGCTTGCGCAATTGCGGCACTCAGCGGGCGTGGCGGACGCATACAACGGGCGTGGTGGACAGAGTGTGAGTATAAATACAAACTGTGTCTCAGTGCAGTCAGTCGGGCCCGACACAGCCTCAGAATGAAGACCATCGTTGCGGTAAGTAGAGAAGGCGCTGGTTGTTACTTTCTTCGCCGACAGAAGAACATTTGTTCTGGATGCGGAGATTGCAGACTGCCTGCACGTTGTTTAGTGTTGAAGCAATGAGTGCAGAACGCGTGCAGGTTCATAATTTAATCTAGGATTTTTTTCATTGGATGTAGAGAGATCACCATAAAAATATATAAGGCTGAAATTCGTGAAAAAAAAAGTGAAAGGCGGTAAGTCGTCGTGCTTACGAATCCAACTTGTACTTTCTAGAAACTAATTTACCAATTATCCAGAAGAGAAGAGGATAGTAAATATTTATTTTGCCTCTTAGCCCGAAATCTGTTTCAATTTGGCTATAGAGTCACTATCCCCGTATTCTTCTCCTCAAAGTTACCCGCCAGTTTCATGTTTTTATCCAATTAGACGAAGTTCCAGAAAAATAAGGAGCTAATAACAAAACAGCCTATGGCGTGCTTGTCTGTGTCTGTGCCTAAAATTATCCTGTGATCATTATTGACCCCGCCCCGCCCCTCTCCCTCCGTCTGCAGGCTCTGCTGTGCGCCTGCGTGGCGGTGGCGGCCGGCAGTCCCCTGCTGGTCGGCGTTCAGGAGAAGGCCAAGGTGCGCATAGCCACCCTGGACCCGGTGGAGGCCGACACCCCGGCCAACACCAAGCTGCTCATAGAAAACGAGAAGGAGCTGGAGATACCGGCTACTCGCGTCCTGACTTACTCCGCCCTGCCCTACGCGCACGTGTTCCGTAAGAAGCGCGCCCTGGTACGTCAGATGCACGGACTGGGGATGGTGGCGGCAGATACGCCGGCCAGCACGGCCCTGCTGCAACCTATCGTCAGCGAGCACAGCATGGTCGTGCCCAAGATGGTCTACATGATGGTCTGAGACCTGTTCAGCGATTTTTCTGTCATGACCTCACCGCAGCACTGCCTTGCCGATAACTCAACTGAGCGATGGATACGCGCGTTTGCTCGGAAACGATGAGATGTATGCGCTTATGTAACTGCCAGAAGAATGGGAATGCCCATACGCATGGCGATTGGTTTCCAGTGTCAATATGAAAAGATTTGAAATAAAAACTGAAAGTCTGATGCATGTCTGACTAGAAACACGACAATTTGCATTCCTATGCGTGAAACGCTCACTTACCAAGGTACTTACATCAAAACTTACCAAGGTACCAAGGTACTTACCAAGGTAGGTCAAAAACGATATGGGAGAGAAAGCCATTTTAGCAATGGTGGCATGCTATTCAAGTATGGGACGGCCTCCGGACGAATAGATCACAGAAACATTGATGCAACTAGATCCGTTAACGTTCAACACCGATAGCCGGACAGACATGGGTCATTGAGAGCTTGGTGTCACTTATTTGTAGGTAAAAATAGCTTACCTTTAGCGGTCCATTTTCGTTCACAAGTTATACACTCTTCGCATTCCATTATATGTGCAGGCCCTGTAGAGCTGTGAAGTTCTTCGTAGGTAAGCATTTACAATGCTAAATGCATTCTTACGAAGAGAGAAAGAAAGTTATCGATGCTTACATGAGGACAATTACTTTGATCAAATGGAATTTAGTGTGATGCAGCTCTTCCCAAATCATCGGAAAGTCTTCTGTAAACCACCGCTCGGCACACAAATCCACCGCTGTCACTCTACCACCGCTCGTATGACGCTCTCAACACAGACTGCACGCAACACAATCCGAGACATCTGTCTCCCCTCCCCCCCCCCTTACCACCACCGCTGAGCTAGGTCTCGTCTCGGTCCGCATCGGTGTCAGATGACCGCCCGAGAGCGTCACTTGATCGACGGACGGGGGTACGGCACGGCTGGCGTATGGCCGATCACTTTCTTCGTTCACAATAAGCACTGGTCAGGAAGTTGTGAAAAACGCTTCACAATAATTGTACGTTCGGTGCCTACTGCCTAGTGCCTTCTCAGGAATAACAATCCTTGCTCGTAAGTCCATCAGGATCTAGACGGTTAGAGAGCGTGGATGTTCAATTTCATCTTGCATTGATGCGCTTTGAATGTCTTAATCGCACGTATGTATAGGACACCGCAAATGTCCCGTCGCTCCGTTGGTAGAGCACCTAACTCCCGGTAGTGAGAGCCCGGGTTCGAGACGCTCCGGCACTCTGAGACTCCTGACGGGTATGGTCTGCGGTTGGTGGGAGCAGCCGCAGCCAGTTGAAGTCAGTTGAGTAGGACAGGCCGTGTCCGGCTTTGAAGGGCACGTTAAACTTTGGCATCTAAATTCTCCCGTTACCCGGAATAGCGCGATCGGACGGTAGGGGTCGGGGTCTACGCAACAAGCTCTGCTTAGCGTGGGCTCCGGCTCTGTCAATCTGTCCATTCAAACATTCGAGCTAAATTTATATAAAAAATGTGTGGATATTTTATGTGAGATTTAGGTACAGTGTTCGGCTTCGCTTAAGCTAGATAGGCATATAGGAAGGATCACCGACCGTTATTTCGTGCGAAATGTGAGAGTGAAATCTGGAGCGTAAAACTATGATCGCCGCCTACATATGCCATGTTTAAACGCACTTCGTACCAGGTCTTTGGGGAATAACATGATTCTTAGAGCACTAACAACGTCATCTGAGCCTGGTCGCCACAGGGCGCACGTCACGCCACGTCGAATCGCCGCGTCACCTGGTCCTGCGTCACGGCTGGGGCTGCCCGTTCTGCGCAGTCAGTTCAGGGCCGCCCGTCAGCTTTGATGGTATTTAGGACCCTGGGACCCTGGCTTTGTTCAGTACAGCGCCAGCCGTCACCCAGACCGCAGGCTTGTCAGTGCGCTTCAACAGTTGAGAGGCACAGTACGAGTGGCACCATGTTCCGTTTCATTCTGTTGGTGGTGTTGGCCACCCTGCTGGCCACGACCGAGGCGTTCAGGTGCGCCCGCTGCGGCACCTACGAGTGCGCCCCGGAACCCCCTGACGCCCAGTGCGCGCCCTGGGGTAAGGTGCTGGACGTGTGCAACTGCTGCACTGTCTGCGCCCAACAGCTGCACGAGAGGTGCGGCGCCCAGTTCGCCGGATCGCCCAAGTGCGGCCGCTGTCTGAAGTGCGTGAAGCCGCCGCTGGAGCCCGGAGAGCACCCGTACAACCAGTGGGGCGCGTGCGAGCTCGACTGTAGCTCCAAGGATTGTCAGAAGGACCCGGTGCCTGTGTGCAAGATATTTGAACTGAGCGATCGGTCCAGTCAGTGATTCCAGCCGACAAACGCCTTCGATTTGAACAATAGCTTGGCGACATTGATATTTTGTCATTTGTTGTCATAAAAGTTGCAATGGGTGGTTTTGTATCGTTTCTTTGTGGTCTGATTACTATGTTCCTCAATAAGCAATAATGTATCTAGTGCGATCGGGTTGTGACCTGACCTGATAAGTGATAAGGTGACCTTACAGGATTTCAGGCTCGATAACTTGACGCTTTGATATTGAAAGATGTTCAAACGCTCGTGCATGTTGGATGTTTTACCTGCCATTTCCTTTGGTGGAGTTCTTGGATGTAACGTCTACTTATAATATACCTATGTTTGGCTGCCTACATCTTTCGGCTTTTCTTGCAAATACATGCACTATGTTAACCCGCGCGGGGCTGGGGGGGTAAATTTTACCCCCCCCCCTCGCGAATTTTTGCGATATCTCAAAAACGGCGGCGCGCATCGCCGCCAAACTTTCAGTACCTTTTCTTACATCAATTTGACACGTTCCCTGAAAATTTGAGCGAAATCCGTCGGAAAATTTTTGAGAAATTGACGTTTTAGTGACGTCATGTTCGCCATTTTCGCCTCAAAAACGGCAAAAGTTCAAACGCCGCTAACATCTTCATTTTTAAAGGAATCAAGACGTAACAAAAAGGTTATACGTAATTTTACTTTGTTTATCAAATGGCTATCTCGGTTTTTGAAAATTTTGGATTTTGGCCTAAATTTTTTTTCAAAAAACTGACTTTTTTGGGAAAATCATTATAAAATCCAAAATTTTGAGTCTATCGAAAAAACCGGAATATATGTCAGAGAAGTGGTCTATGTGCACCTACATACCAAATTTTAGAAGAATCGGTTCAAAAATGTGGGAGTTATTCAAAATTTTATGACGTCACGACACACAAATTTTTTGAAAAATGACTTTTTTGGAAGTTCTAGACCTCGTACGGGAACAAAAATAGCACCATTCGATTCGCCGTGAAAAACTGCATCAGATAGACACCTTTTTAGGCCTTAACAACCAACTTCAAAATTTGACCTCGCTTGACCTGACCTTGACCTGACCTCGACCTGAAATTCATCCAGAGGTGGTCCATATCACTTATTGAGTGTGCCTATTGAATTCTATGAGTAAAATGACCCATAAAACATGGGTCGCACATGCCCTTTTCTATATTTTGTTTTTTGGTGACCTGACCTGACCTGACCTGACCTTGACCTTGACCTCTGAATGATATTGTATGCAACGAATATTGTCTTGGTAGCCTAAGAACACGTTTTGGGCGATCAGTCTCAGTCCATGACTCCATTCTTCGGCAACTACGGTGCAAGGCCGATACTGTAGGAACTTGCAATTTGTACCCTTGACCTGACCTTGACCTTGACCTCAAACTTAAAATTAAGTACATGTTTTTAGTAGTTCGTGATGAGAGCTTTCGATTGGCGTTTGAATTTTCCAAATCGGACCATTAGTTTGGGAGATAACAGGGGGGGTAAAATTTACCCCCCCAGCCCCGCGCGTTCGGCTGGAGACCCCAGCCCCGCGCGGGTTAACCCGCGCCCCACTGGAGTCTGCATATAACGCGCCCTACTGGAGGGGGGGGGGGGGGCTATTCATCCCGATCGTCCGATCGTCAAAATTCAAACGGCATCTGATAGCCCCGGAAAAACTGTTGTGCGAAACCTAATTTCATTGACCTCAAGGTCACCGATGACGTCACAGGCCAGGTCAAAGAAAAATAATCGATGTTTTGCTTGTTCGCATTTTGGGCTCTGGCCGCCGTCTTACAAGTCAGATCAGACTCATTTTTTGTTTACATACTCGTGAACAGATGCTTTTGATACCCTGAGGGTATCAAATTTGTACATTTTCAGGCCCGGGTCAGATCATCACAGGTCACGGAAATCTTATATCATAGGTCTGTCACGTGACACATGTTTTATGGTCCATTTAGGCCATATATTTCGAATTCGATGTCGTTGATGTCTTTCGAGGTCATTTTGAGTTGAATTTAGCTTAGGTCAAGCCATTTTCAGGTAAAAAAGGTCAAATTTTTTAGTTGATTTTTTTTAGTATGTTGTATGATCGTACGACCAAAGATCGTAAGCAAAAGATCGTAAAGCATTTGATCGTATGAAAAATATCGTACGACAAAATATCGTAACGTTAAGTTCGTAAAGTAAATAATCGTATAGAATAATGTTGTAGGTAAATGATTGTAGCATAAAGCCCGATGGTCACAAAATATTTTACGAAAAAACCGTCACGTGCGTGTGCTGCTGTGACCTGTGGGGTGCCCCTGTTGGGGTTCTCAAGTCTTATTGGAGGTGCTCTATCTAGCATTTGATGCTTAGGTCATCTTATACAAAGAATCCGAGGTAGAAAAACTAGGGATATTTATAACGTCATGTTATCCACCAACTGCGAAAATTTTCATGCCCACAATTATCCCGCGCCCTGGTGGGGTCTGTTTATAACGCCACCTGGTGGGGGGCTATTTTTTGCCCCCCCTCGTATCTCCGAAACTACTGGACGAATCCGCAAAATTCAAACGGCGTTCGAAAGGCCTGTCAAATTTGTGAAAGGAAACCAAATTTAATTGACCTCGGGGTCACCGATGACGTCACAGGTCAGGTCAAAGATGAAATGTTTCACCGTTCACGGGTCTTCTAGGGAATGCGCTATAACACCGAGGAAAACGCATTTTGTCGAGAATCAGCGATAGGGCGTCAGTTGCCTAGTAGATATGTTGCTATTAGAGGTCACTGACAATACCAGGTCACGTCACAGGTCAGGTCACCAAGGGTCACAGGTCAGGTCACATGAGCCCAACTTTACTAAGGTTGTGTGATGCATGTTTTATGGCCAATTTTTCATTTCCAACTCAATGGTGTTGGTTATAAGACTATCAGCTACGGCTTAGGTCACTTTCTGGTGAAGTTCAGGTCAAGGTCAGGTCAAGGTCAGGCCAAAAAAGGTCAAATTTTAAAGTTGATATTTTTGCATAAAATGGGTATTGATTCGATGCAGCTCGTCACGGGGAGTCTAATGGTGGTCTTTGTTTTGCGCTACGGGGTCTAGAATTGCTAAAAATTGAGTTTGAAAATTTGACGTCATCAATTTTGAACAGTTTTTTCGCTATAACTTCGCCAAAAAAGAGGTATCAATCTCAAATTTGGTATGTGGATCAGGAAGGCGGTAAGGACTATCACATATGTTCCGTTTTTTGCGAAATTCAAATTTTTTTTTGGATTTTTCGATCATTATATCAAAAAAAAATATTTTTTGATTTTTGGGGGTCAAAATCCAAAAATTTCAAAAATCCGAGATAGCAGTTTGGTAGCCCTGCTAATTCTACAGCTTTTATGTCCGTATCATTTTTCTGTATTTGCAAAGCTATTGGCCTGACAGCTCTTCCCGCGAAACCCTTTTTTGGGTCGAAAACGGCAGAACATGACGTCACTCTGACGTCATTTCCGGCCAACCTATCATAGCCTTTGGAAAACATTTTGGTCACCATATGTAAAATTGATGTCCGAGAGGGTACTGAAATTTTGGTGACGATCGGCGCAGCGGTTCTGGAGATATATCGAAAAGTCTGGAGGGGGGGGGCAAAAAATAGCCCCCCCCCCCCACCAGGTCGCGGGTTATATTAAGAAATTCACAATTATGAGTGTGACTACCATGGGCTTCGATGCTAGAGCATGGATGTGGATTTTCACAAAAAAAAAAAAACAGATTGGGGCGTCACAGGCATATTGCCTGTGAAAATTTTCATGGCCACTTTACGTTATAAATATCCCTAGTTTTTTCTACCTCGGATTTTTTGTATAAGATGACCTAAGCATGGGTAAATTTGTATATCATTTGGGGTGCTTCAGCATCCCAAATGCTAGATAGAGCACCTGGCCCCCCATGCCGAAGGGCCCCCCACCAAAAAAATACGGCCTTTTAGAATTATTTTGGGTACCTAGGTAGGGTCACCACTTTGATTCATGACACTCCACTCGGAGTTTTCCTGGATCCGCCCCTTTACATGCGTACGTGTGCACCTGGGAGCTTTGGGGTGCCCTGGTGGAGCTTTGGTGGAGCTGATTGTCAGATCTTTAAAAAAGCTCTTAAGTATTCAAAGGCTATTTATCGCTACACAATAGGCGCCTGAAAAGCTGTTTTAGAAAAGTATAGCTGTTTATGGTGCTAAACTAGTTTTATTTATGATGTCTACTTCATTGTTGCCAATTTTATTGTCATTGGAGTTGGTTTATGGGGTGTGTAAAGGGCTTAAATATTTGAACTTTTTGCCCATTATTAAGGCATTGTTCATTATAACAGCTTATGAAAGCATTAGAGTGAAATGTCAGCACTGCAAATAGTTACGAGAGAATACTGCTACACAGTGCATATATTTTCATTATCGCTTATGCATGACGTCTCTTCCGACTGGAACATGGATTTAGTCGTATAACACTTCAAATAGGTACATCATACATGAAAACGGCAGCACATACATTCAATTATTCGGCACACATACAAGGCGTTGCTTTTAGGTGCCATTGAGCCAACTAAGTTCTGAAATAACATCAATGTATGGTCGAGCTTACGACGGCCACTTACTACGCGAACACAGAAATTGATAAGCTTTGTATGCGCTGGAGTTGGACTGCACCATGTGAATACCATATTTTGACTTTACGATCTTTATTTCATACGATCATTTGGCGTACGATCGTTTTCCTTGACGATCTTTAGCGAATACGATCTTTTGTCCATACGAGCATTATGTCGTACGATCTTTATCCATTACGACTTTTTGGCATACGATCATTTTTCTTGACGATCTTTAGCGAATACGATTTTTTGTCCATACGAGCATTATGTCGTACGATCTTTATCCATGACGAATTTTTGGCATACGATCATTTTTCTTGACGATCTTTAGCGAATACGATCTTTTGACCATACGAGCATTATGTCGTACGATCTTTATCCATTACGATCTTTTGCATACGCTCAACTGCCTACGATCTTCTGCCATACGATCTTCTGGTTTACGATCTTTTGTCCGGTTACCCAGACGACGGCGATGTATCTACGTAGATGTCGCGTCAAGCGGCTGTACAGGTGACGCCACTTGTGCTGTACGCTCCTGTATCACACTCCCCAGCAGGGCTCCCGGTCCCCGGTCGCTAGTGAGCATGGAACGATTGAGGTACCGTAAAATGGGGGGGTGTTAACAGTGGGGTGTGGTGGACAGTGGGGTGTTAAGGGACAGTTGCATGGGAAAAACTTTGAGTCATATTAACTTCCTAATTGGAGAAGGTTCAATAAAAACTTCAGTGTGGTAGTTGACACTGTTTTGCTCTTGACCATAGGACAAAATAGTATGGTTTTTCATGCAAGTGATTTGGTTCAAAAATGGATTTGAAAATCATGCTACATTTTCACAAAATTGAAACATCTCCAAAACTCTGTGTGTACCACATAAACAAGTGGGTGTACAGGGAAAATGAATGCATAGGTGTATTGTCACATGTATTCCACATGTTTCAGGGGTGTTCACGGGCACCGCACACTGCTGCGTGCGCTGTGTGCGGTGCGTCCAGCAGGCGTGGGGGTAGGGGATGGGTAGGCGGCTCTGACGTCACGGCTGCGTGCGGTGGACGGTCCGCTGTGGCCAGTCCCGACCGGCCACAGCGATCGCTGTGTGCGGTGACGGAAGGCTGACGTAGGGACGCAGTGGGCGGAGCTTAGAGGCTGTGTGCGGTCCGACCGCACACAGGGCCCGTGAACAGCCCTCTGAAAAAAACTTGTGCAAATCCACCCATTCATTCATCATCCTCTTCTTCTTTTCCGGATACATGCATTTTTGGGGTGCTACGGCACAGGGAAGAAAAAATAAAAAATAATATCTAAATATAATTTCATTAAGTTTTCTTTCAGTAGGCATGGAAAACACCAAATTCCACATAAAATGCTGGCAAGTTCATGCTTTTATCTCTAACACATCTTAGGTTATGTAACAAAACATCTCAACACTCTTTTACAATGATGGGTCAATGGAGACTGATGTAGGTAAATGTGATGTCATCATAAAAAGACTAAAACAAAGAGGGCAACATAATGACAAGTGACTAGCTTCAACATGGGTTTTTATTGATGACAGAAGATTACTTTTTGGTTCTGTTTACCTCATAATTAGCACATTTTCCACAAGCGTAAACTGCATTACACGTAATTGGCTAAAAAGGCCATTAGTGGTGAATGAACCTGACTTGTTTTGTGACAGAATATGCAAAACATTTCAATGAATAAATTGTGTGCCCTTCCACACCCCAATTGTGGGCATTTGACGACCATTTCTTGGAATAATATAGGTGTCCCTTAACACCCCACATTGAGGTGCTAAGGGACGGTGATGAAAAATGATAAAAAATAATATGCAGGTATAAATCTTAAAAACTTTAATGTGGCAGGCATGTAAAGCACCAAATTCCACATAAAATGCTGACAATTTGATGCTTCTATCTCCAACCCTTCTTGAGTTATATAACAAAACACCTCAAAACTGTCCCTTAACACCCCATTTTACGGTACTTGGGCATGGTTCTGTTTGTTAGATGGGTGATACGTCAAAAAGTGTAATTTACCCATGCTTTTTATCAAAGCCCAGCCTGCATCTTTGCTGTTCACGTCTTTTGCGACAATCTTGCGATATTTCACTTTTCTGGAGAAATTCCTTTCTCCTGCGACTTTTGCATCTGGTAGCAATGTGGTAGCACATCATAACGGCAGTTCAGTGGCGTCGCCGGTAGGGTGAGGTGGGGTTACGACGCTGAACTCTTAAATTAGCTGTTTAGCTGTTGTGTTTGGTTGGATTTCTGCATATCCCGCAAAAGATCACAGTCTGGATTTGTGGCATCCAAAGTGAAGCTTATTCGGCGCTATCGCATTGACTGAGCGGTCACTTCGGAAAGGATTTCCGTGGCCCACGTTGACGTTGAGGTGAGTTGAAATATTTGATAAATGAAAGTGAATTGGTGTTTACAAAGTGCTCGTTTTGATACATTACAAGTTTTCATCCATCTTAGTTTTTCCTAATGCATTCATTTTATATCAAAGCATAAATTTTGGATTTGTCGACCGCTACGTGCTCGCTTGGGTTTTCGCAGGTTTTCATGCAACAGGATAGTCTTCTTAGGCCAATTTCTGGGCTGGTTCACGGGCTTTTATCGAATATGAAGCATTTCAATCAATGATTCGTCTCACTTTTGAATGTCTACTCTTAATCTAACAATGATATGATTTTTCTCAGGAAACGTTGCGCCGTGCCTGCTGGAATAATGACCCCGCCAACATCGACTCGCCCGGCGCGGGGGAGGTCACTTTCGTGAACGGCCGGATCGAAAGCCAGCAAGTGAATAATTTGCTATTGCCGGAAGAAAGTGCTGGGGAAGATGAAAGGTGTGAAAGTGGTAATGGTGCTGAGTGTATTAGGAGAGTCGTGTGATTCTCAGTGACCGGCTGCCAAGTGCACTTAGTTTATTTTAGTTTTATCCTAGTATTTTACCCACCTGACAGACACCACAAGTGGCAAGTTTTGCATGGTGTCCTTGAATTCCTTTATTGGTCCAATTCAGGGCATGGACCATGTGCTAGCAGACCATGTATCCTGGGCACCTAAGCAAGATTTTGCCATGCTTTTGATGGAGCGACAACAAAACAAAAGTGAGTACAGCACTTGCATGTGGCAACTGACTGCTGAGCCATTCCTACATGACCATATTGCCTTATTTTTACCAAATGTCAAATAAAATTTAAGCCAGAATTTAAGATGAGATTGGTTACTGAATGGTGCATGAGTTTTTTAGCCAGAAATTTGTTTACACTGCATGATTTATGGGACTAAATAATAAGAGACTCATTGAACTCCTTAGACTTTGATGCACCACTCCAACTGGCCTGTATTGGTTTGTGACTTCTGCTGTCATAATTTGTTTAAAGTAGCCGCCATGTTTGTCCATTGTGAGCTTTGTTTTCTGTCTCTTGTCTTGTCCAATGTGTTCCTCCTAATCAGGCCACTGATTGGAGACTGGAAGATGGTCGTCCCGTGGCCTGACTGCGGCTGGCTCGCCCCGACCTACAGTTCGTGGCCTGCCAGCCCGACCCTGGCCGCGGGCCTCCTCTGCTGGCCGTTCAGCTCCGTTTGACATGCGGCTCAGCACGCCGCCGCTCTGTGAAAGTGGCCGGTGCGCGCGCCAGAGAGCTCACTGCCCGGCCGGCTGTCTCGCCGCTCCTGACCCGGCCGGTGTCGACTCCGGCCGAAAGCTCTCTCCGAGCCGAGCGCCGCGGAATGCGCCGCATGCGATGAAATCGGCGATAGGCGCTGGCCGGAAGAGCGGGTCGCACCGCCGCGTCAGGCTGCCGTGGGAGGCTTTCGTCGATGTCGATTAGGGAGGAGACACTGTTGCAGCAAGGCGAGCATTTGTGGAACCGGTAACGTCTCCCGAACGTTGAAGTAGCGAATTGTTTGGCAGCTGCAAAATCAACCAGCAGGCACTGAACAGCTAGTGGCTGAACAGCCAGTGCCAGCAGCCAGCCGATGGCAGCCAGTGTTCGGGCTGCCTTAGTGAAGCTGAAACAGCGAGATATTGCTGCGATTTGTCGAGGACCTCAGTGCCGCGTCAGTGGTCAAATGTCTGAGCCGTTTGCCTCGGCCAGCCTCAGAGAAGTGCCTGATTACGTAACTGTCGCGCAGTTCCGCTGGTTTCCGGGAAGCGGTTTCCCTTTTGTCGGCCGCCGGCGGCTCTCTGCTCGGCGGAGGCGACTGGGTGTGACCGGCCACCGGCCCCGCCCCGTGCCGGCGTCGGCGCGTGGCGCCTGGCGGCCACTCGCTGGTGAAAGTGCCACCCGCGCTGCCGGCCGACAGGGCTGCGGTCAGTGCGGCGGCTGTCGGGCAGGCGCCGCGGTTGGTTTTCAACAAACCACCGGTGCCTGCGTGTCTGTAGCTATTGCCACTGACCGTCTAAGAGAATGGACTGCCGCCTTTGGACATTTCTCACGCTCTCACATGGGCACAAAGTACCGACTCTCAGCGTTGGTCCGACTCCCCTGATCCGGCTCTGTCGCCAGGCGATGGCCAGGTCCGTCATCCGGTCGACTCGCCGCTGAGTAGTTCCACACTTTGATATCTCGCGGCCGGATCCGCGTGTGGTGTCGGCCAGAGTCCGTCAGCGCGGCGCTCGGACCGGCTGGCGGAGCGCCGCGCCGCCGCGCGGGGCTGTTGACCCGCAGGCACCGGTCGCCGGCCGACGTCACCCGGTGTGCGCCTTATCCGGGCTATCGACCGCGGCGCCTGGACGAGCCAAGGTCGCGGCGCACTGTCGCTGGGACGGCCTGTCCCGTCAGCGATCGGTGGGACGACCTGTCCCGTCAGCAATCGATAGGATGTCCTCTCGTCTCCTGTCCCTTCCTGTCCCGTCAGCGATCGGTAGGATGTCCTGTCCCGTCCTGTCCCATCAGCAACAGATTTGTCCCTTCCTGTCTCGTCAGGATCGCTGCAATGTTCCGTCCCGTCAGTGTCTAGTGTTATTTTCTCTCTCATCACGCCTGAACCCATCGCTCATTGAATTCGGCTCGAATCGGGTTATTTTCATTGGAACACCGCTTCGACCGGGCCTTGATGGGAAGCGCAGTTTGTCATTTACCGCATTGCATGCCGTTGAGTTGTCCTTCCTCCCCATTTATCTCGTGGGTCGTCTGGCTGCGTCATGTGCGCACGATTTCTGGCTTTTAGCTTCAACCTCACGTATAAAAGCAAAGCGGATTGCTGCTTGGGGTGGTGTTCCCGAGACGATTTTTTCTTTTTATGCTGTTTGGATGCTCATTTACTCAGAGTCTGAGGCGTGTTAAACATCCAGCAGATGGCTGCCTGTATTCCGCAGCGCTCCCACCAAAGCCGATTCGTTCGGCGGCCACGCGCTCTCCGTTCCACCCGCGGGCTGTCTGAGCGCGGCGGCTCCGGACGCAGGCACGTGGCGGCGGGGCCGGTGACCCGCGCCGCCGCGCGTGGCTCCGTCGAGTCGACGTCGACGGCCGGTCACTGCTCCTCCCGTCGGCCCGTCGGCGGTGTATTTATAACGCCGCCGCCGCCGGCAATCCGGGTATCTGGGCCGTCTGGTCGGCCGTCCGGCGGCCGGGCACCCACAGGTGCCGCCCCCGCCCCCGCCTCCGCCCAGCCCCCGCCCCCACTGGGCACGCCGTTCCGTTGGTCTGAGGACCTCGATACTGATCGGCTGGCTATCGGTATGAATTCGAAGGGTGGGTCCTCTGAGAAAGCTGAGCCGGTGCAGTTTGCGACACCAGTTTTTGGGCTCGCTCCCCATTGATTGGTGGTATATCACACTTGATCAATCGCTAGCTGCTTAAAATGCTTAAATTTTGGAGGCGCGCTACTGAATGGAAAACAGTTGAATTATCTGTATTCGGCTCGACTAACTAATCTCTGCTGAAAAGTTTCCGAAGAGCGAGCCGTAGACAGTATTTTCAAAATATAACAAAGCTTGCGTTAACTGCAAGGCACACGCATACCAAATTGGATGACATCGTGGACAAACGACCACCATGTAACCGCGCTTTTCCCACGGTGTCCCGCGCCATCTTCTCTAGAACCAGCACACATTTTGCTTCTCCTCACAGTAAAGTATCAATGCTATGTAAAGGGTGCCATTGTCGCATGCATGTCAGCTTGTTGCACCGTCACTCCGTGTGTTTCTCGCTGGTGCTATTACAGTGTAATCTGACACAGGAAATGATACACTGCTGACGTACAACTGTAACCGTTATGCCACTGTCCAATTTTGGCGTCGTACGGGCTCCTCCGTGGGCCCTGCAGGCACAGGCAGTGGTCCTGGTCCGGAATAGGCTGACCCTGCGCCCAGTTGGTATGGTCGAGCGCCGTGCCGTCCTGCCAGCCCCACTCGGCGTCGTTCTGCAGCAGCTGGACGCCGCCCACCCACACCTACTCGGTGCCACTTCTAGCCACCAGGCCATCCACAAACTCCTTATTGGCCACGTGTACTGACGCCAGCCGCGCCCGTCGGTCTATGGCCGGACAGGCGGCGGTGGCGGCGAACCACGAGACGACCACGCCGGCCGGGATCAGGGGCCGTATTCACGTCGACTTCGTAAGTCGATTTTCTTTCGTAAGTATAATTTGGTATTCACGTCGACACTTCTTAAGTTTTTATCAACGGAGTTCACGTGATTAAAAAAATTTACTTAAGAAGTAGGTCAAACTTAAGAAAATTCTTACGAAAATGATCGACGTGAATACGGCCCCAGGTAGCAGTTGTTGGCGTAGCGGCTCCAGCCGGTGGGGCACTCACCGGCCGCCGGACTGGCAGTCGTCAGCTGCTCCGTGAGGTCAATCAGGCGGTTGTCGAGACGCCCCAGAAGGCTGATCAGTGATCATCACTCAGATCAACATTTCCACATATTTACTACCACCGAAAACTGGGCTTTCATTAGGTTTTCTTAGTTCCCAACACTGGAATCACGCTTGGAAACTAAAGCGGGTTCTAGATGAACGACCATCTATACCTCGCAGTTTCTAACCTCAGACACAATGTAAAAGTTGCGCCGACCGCCTTCGTTCCCACGCTAGTACCGCCGATATACATAGAATCACAACTTCCTCACTCTGCTTTCCTAACTGAAGTTTCTTTGCCCTGTCTGGCCGGCCGTTACCGCCCGTTTTCCGCCATTAGGGATGGTAAGTGCGCCGCCCACCGCAGCGTCTGTTGCCGGTCAACTGGCCGCGTCTGTCGGGCTGCTCCTGTCGTACCGCCGACGTCTGACCAGCACTGCCGCAGATGTTTAAACCGGCTGTCTCCCCGGTGAGCCTCTCGGGAACGGTCGTCAACCCGCTAGAGTGTGTGTTGCCGAGCCGGCGGCGGGCGCCGACTCCCCGCAGCCGCCCGGACGGCAATGTTTCTTTGCTGCGGGACGCAGCACGTGCCTGAGGCGGCATCTGGGTCACTGACCCAGATTCGTCCTATTGAGCGTGGCTGAGCGGCGGGCGCGGGCCGGCTGCCCGCCACGCCATCGACTGCTCCCCCCGTCGGCGCCGACACAGCGGCCGACTATTGATCGGCCGGAGCCGGTCCGAGAGAGCCGCCCGGCGCCCCGCCCCGCCCCGCCCCGCCCGCCCCGCCCCGCCCCGCCTCGCCCGGCCCGGCGGGCGGGACCCGTCGACCCCGGCCGCCGCGCCGAGACGGCTGATCCCGAGCACCGGGTCCGGCGAATGACCCGGCCGCAGCGCCGGGGCTGCACTCTGCCGGCTGTTCCCGGGGCGCGGTCGCAGAGAGGTGACGAGGTCTGTTGGATAGGGTTGGGTCGTCGGCCTAGCCTGGTTGTGGACACACCTGATGAAGTTACCATGGCACTGTGTAGACATAGATAGGTCTGCGAGGATCAACTCAGTGAAGTGGTCGGTAGATTTGTGAAGATCCGATAGTCGTTGGAAGGTCTGATTGGCCTGCAACAAGTTGTCAATCCGGCGCTGTGTGCGCTGCAGGCACTCTTGAGCTCTCTTCAAGCGCCCAATCAGAAATAATATTTTTCCTTATTTCCGGACTAGGCAGGCGACTGGGACCAATCGTTGCACCCGAGAGTGCTCCTTTCTGTCCAATGAACGTCATTTCCGACCGTTTTGATCGCTAATCCCATCATATAACACAATTATCCAAACTGCCAGTTGATCCCGGAAGTGTTATGCTCTAAGATGTATTGTCGGATTGTAAAATCCTGGCTTTCGAGACATGCGTCGTTGTCTGAAAACGTTTTATTGGTTTTTAAAATTACTTCGAAACTATGCTTCTTTTTATTTTCCTTTAATGTTACAGTAGCATTTACACCACTTTTTCATGCTCCTGTTGCATGCACCTTTCTATCCTTGCCCTAGTTTTGTACGACCGGGCTGGTGTAGCGGCCTTCAACGTCAGCCTTACCTGTCCGTACGTGCCCGGAGCACTGTCCGTTATTGGCGTGTTTCGTGCAGCGGCGAACCTAGTGACGTCATACCACTGGGTCATGTGCCCGGTGACGTCATACCACAGGTTCAGTGGACGTTCACAGCCAGGGCGGGCCTTGTCGGCACCACCGTGCTTTTCTGGTCGGGCACCTGTCTCTTCTAAAGTCGACATCTCTTTCGGTTCGGCATGACGCCCATGATTGCGGGCAGGGGAATGAGGATGGCCCATCCTGATGGGTCAACTCTGATGGAGAGGAGAGGTGGCGACTAGAGTTGCAAAATTTCCCTACCGCACTACCGGCATGCCGGTAATTTTTCACTACCGCAGGTTTATTCGTGGTAACTGGCATGTCTTGCCGGTAGCATGCCGGTATTTTTGATTTTGTGCAAAAAAAAAATATCAGCAAATGATTCAAACTTTGGACACTAAGAGGCTCTCAAATTGTAGTAACAGCAATATTAGCCACTGCAAGATACATTTTGTGGTAGAAGTTCCATTGCTAAGTGTAGGGGTAACACATGGACCTCAGCATTTCACACAATTCACAGGCTTGGTTATAATTAGAATTGTCAAGAATCTACTGTGGTCTATAAAAGGAAGAATACTCATTCATGTTGCAAAAGCACGATAAACTAGTAAGTCTAATGGTAGGTAATACGTATAGCACAATCAAATAAATCAATGTTCATGACAACATTCCCTAGGGGAAAAGGCAGAATCAAAACACCAAAAAACACAATGTTTGGAAACTGGCCTTGAGTCCTGAGATCATGAGTTGTGGTCTGAGAAACTCTACAAAGAATTTGACACTGAAAATCCAGCTGAAAAGGCAGGTGTTAGGTAGCCTTGAGTCTGACTTTGGTCCCATTATTATTAAATGAAAATGGATTTAAACTGGCATTTTGTCTTATCTTATGCAGGCCAAAATTGACAAAAAGTGGCGCAAACAATTAGACAACCAAGGATTTACTTTTAAGATTCTCTCTCCCCTAATGAATGGATGTAATCTGATGACGTAATATTTATTCATATACCCTTTTGGTTGAATAACTGAAGAGAGATGAATTTCTTTGCAGTGAATTACACTACAATGTTGATTTCATTATAATTTAATATTGTGTTGGGTAATTTTTATCAATATAATAATTCACGAAGCAGTGGCTTGCAGTCGTTTAACATTTTTTTGCAGCGTTTTAATCAGCTGGTTAAAAGCCTCTATTATGGCGCATCTGTTTCGAAATCGATAACCTTGTGTTTGTTCCCGCTTGAGGTTGGAGAGGATGGAAGATATCGTTTTTATACATATTATTTGGTGACTATTCTCAGGACCAGTGAGTTATTAACACATTTTTTACATGATTCGTATCTTATTCACGAACCAGCAAGCCATAGTGGATAGGAAAAAGTAGATGTTGATCTCGCTTCCTCAGTTAGGAAGATGGCCTAATCTGTACTTGTTAATATATGTTTTGACCATCTATATTTTAAACATTTGGCTGGTGCCTGCAACATTTTAGGATAATATGGAAAAGTAGAACAACTGTGAAATGTAAATGTGATTACTGCTCACTGTCCAGTCTTCAAAAACACATTTCATTAATTCTAGTCCTTTTTGTCCTCACCTTTTTGATGAATGTAATAGTTTTTTTTTTTGTAGGCAATACTTCTTTGATTACAGGTGATATTTTAACAGTTATAGACTGGAATTGAGTTTCAAAATTGTGGGTATTTGTGGGGCCAACTCAGCCAAAATCAGCCTGCTGGTATTTGTGGTTGGACAATGGATGGCTGTTGGGTGGGAGGGGTACTGAAACTGCCAAAATGTGGCATCTCTTGCAGGGGTAAGCTAGAATCAAGAATGCAGGTTTTTTTAGTATGCCGGTAATTTGGCGGTTTTTTTGCTTGGGGCGTGGTAGCATGCCGGTGTCCCAGAAAATTTTTGTGGGGCGGGGCGGTGCCGGTAGCAGCCTTTTGGGAAAACTTTGCAACTCTAGTGGCGACGATGGAACGCTGGATAGGACCGCTAACTGGGCTCCGATTGGATCGCCTGTGATCAATGCAGAATGGGCGCCCTCAACCCTGATGTTCTCCTGTTGCTGTCTAGAATGCTAAACACCTCCTCCTTCTTTGAACTGACTGACGCCGTTGATGAGTGACTGACGCGATTCTAACTACTGTATTCGCATGTGAGATGACTGGCAGCCATCTGTCATGACCGATGGCGACGGTGGCCACCTGTCTCCGTCATAATGGACGCCGTCTTCTGCTGACCTAAATCTGACAGACCCTGGCTGGTGCGTCTGTGTACGGACACACACGCGTCTCCGGTCCGCCTTCGCCGCCGGCCAAGGCCGGTCCGTGCCGCGTGCTTCCTCTTGGTGTTTATGTTGGTGAGACAAACCAGTGGGGTGTGATGGTGCTGTCTTCTGGAGAGGCCATTCGTAAGCGTTGGCCCCACCCAGTGTTAGTATATCGATGGCGGAGGAACGGACCGAGTGGCTCGCGGTCCATGTGACCCGCTGCTGGTGCTAGTTCAGCGGCGAGTGACGTGTTGAGGCGATACGGGAGTGGCACGGTAGTGAGAAGAGTGCCCGTTAACAGCGGTGTCGGTGAGACGGTGTTTTCGTCGCTTACCTTCTGTGGAGAGAAACTCCCCTCGGGCTGCTGTCTTCAATCGTTCCAGATTATCAACTTTGTGTGCTGACCAGTGCACATTGATCATTGAGCAGTAATTGGTGCCCGGTAATCAGTGATCAATTGTCACTCACTGGCACCTAGCGAGCGTCCAGCGCCGACCGACCAACTTCACTCCAAAGCGGGCAAACCTCCCCCGGGACCGCCCACGCTCGCCCGATCGTCCGATGGTGGGGCGCTGGTCAGACGGCCAGCCAGATCCATCGATTGAGCTGCGGCGCGGGCCGGGGCGGCGCCTGACGGGGCTGTCGAACCGACTGCATACTGCATGCCCGCCTGCGGACCGCTGAGTCCCGGCGGCGCCGGCGGCCGGCGGGGCGTCTGGACGGTGCGCCATGGTAACTGGACCGAACCGGCGGCCGTTACGGGCGATGGTATGTCGCCGTGTGTATGTTGCGGGTGTAGTTGGGGACAGGGGCGGGTGCTGGAATGTCTGAGTGATTCATTGAGATGAGTTGGGCACATTGCGATTAATTGCCGGGCGGGCGTATTGCAGTACCCCCAGTTTCGGCTCTTTGCCGCTGTTAGGTTCACAGTTTTGATTTATGGTCGTCGATTGACCCACGCCGCTAACTCGCTCAATTGACCACGATTCATCGGTCTGAAAACTGAATCACCAGTGGCGCCTCTTGTTCGTGATTCAGCGTATGATATCACAGTTGGCCCGCAGTCAGCAATGGGTGTGAGGACTGGCAAATGCCATTCATTCCGTACGTTGGTTTATGACTGGAGTTCAGACTCGAACTCAGACGCCGAGTCGTCACTAGGTTCTGGCCAGACGCGCAGTGGACTCTGGACTTTAGTGGCTATAAACAAACTGAAACGCTTCATTTCAACCATTTGTCGGGTACATTTCCATCATGAGATACGACGAGTTGAAGCGCCACCCAGTTTCCAATCGCGATAGGCATTCATATGACAATTACTGACGATGCTCGTAAAGCAATGAGTGAGCTAATAATTGTTTTGCTGCTTGCGACAGTGACCCTTGTTTCATCTTTCCTTGCATTGTGGGCTGCTGAAGCTGGATGTCAGGTTAGGCCTTGGATGTCCGCCCGATTCTGCCTTCTGAAGATGTGCGTGTTCTGCTCGCTCATCGGAACTCTCACGTCTGGATAACATGTGGAACATTTCAGTGTCGTGTGCGTTGTGCGTGGCGCGTCTGATGTAATTCATTTGGCAGATGTCGCTGTCAGTGTGTCCCTCCCCTGTGATATATAGGTCAGTCCTGCCCTGTATGTATGACCGCCTCCTGTTCCAATGTAGGCCAGTGTATCCCCGCCACCGTGTCAAGGCCGTCTATGTTGTTGTTGGCGGATGCAGGTCGTCCCCAGCTCGATCGGTCGCTCCGCCCTGACACCGGACCCGTCTGTGTTCCCAGGAGAGGCGGCCAAGCCGCGCGCCGGCCCCCTGTACGCCCGGTCGGCGGGCGGCGGTGGCGGGGGCGGTGGCGGCGCGGCGGCCGACCAGCCGGCGGCGCTAACCGACCGGCCTCCCTCGGACTCTGTGACCGAGGTGGGCGGATCCAGCGGGCCCGACCTGCTCACCATGCAGGCGCGCATCCCGTACCAGTTCAGAGAGCCGGCCCAGGCGCCGCTGCGCAAACTCAGCGTCGACCTCATCAAGACGTACAAACATATTAATGAGGTGAGTTGACGCCGGACGCTGCGGGAGGGAAGTCGCCGCGCGGCCGACACGCCGTCATTGCTGGTAGGCTGAAGGCTGAATGGAAACTAGACTGGCAAAACATGTCGGTTGTGGTGTGTGAGGTAGGTTCGGGTGGGGCCGCGCCCGGTTGTTAGCAGATGACTACGTGTGGTAACCTGAGCGGCTTTTGAGGCCCAGTGAAATGAAGTGGGAAGAAGACAACAGCAAGGTGTGCTCAGGGCGTATCTGTGGGGCTGTCATCCATCTTGAACTCCGGGGTGCATCTAGTGACGGCTTCTTCTGATCTGCCCTTTGATCGATTGAGCTTGAGCACATGTCGATGTTTCTTTTAGATGTGCCTGTTGAAACAGAGTCGAGCTACATATGTTTCTGATCGTGATTTGCCTGAGGCTGATCATCAACCGGTCCGCTCTACCAATGCCTGAGTCGGTGTCAAATTACCACCCCTGTTGGCAGGTGTCCGTTGCCCCGCCCTCCGTCACCGTGCCGCCACCTCCCTGCTGTCAGTTCCCGCCCTGTCTCTCCTACTCCCTCCCAGGCTGAGAGGAAGCCCCGAGACCTGAGTCGGACCCTCCCTGATGGCTGACGACTGCCTGCATCCGGCCGCCCGGGGGCAACAGCCGCTCCTCGGCCGGTGGGGCGGGGGCGGCCGCCAGCCCGCCCGCCAGCCGGCCGGCCGCTCGTCCACCGACGCCGCGCACACCTCCGGTCGGCGGCCGCGCGCACCTGTCCTCTCGGACGAGTCCACTGCGCCGCCGCCGAGGGGAGGCACCACGCCGCCGTGACGTCAGCGGCGCGCCGTCAGCTGTTGCGGGCGCCGCCCGGCCGGCCGGCCGCCGCTCGCTCGGGCCGGTCCCGGATCGAACACGCCGTCCCGTTGGAGGCCGCTGGCCGGCGGCCGCCGCCGTCTTCGTTGAACGGCGCGGCGGCCGGCGGCGGCTCTGCGGAGCGCCTTTGTGGGGCCGGGCCCGCCGCCAAGGCCGTCAGCCGGCGCCACCAGCTGACGGCACGTCATCAGTGACGTCGATAACGGCCGGCGGCGACTGCGTGTCGCGCACGGAGGGACGACTGTGACGTCACCGAGGGTCAGCGGTCACTGACCTGTCCTGACACGGTGTAACGACCCTGAGGGCTGACTCCTGTCACTACCTGCGTCGGATGGCGGTTCGCGGGTCGGAAGCGTTCTTGGAAATGTCACAGAGTCCTCTAATTCATCGAACTGACATTCTCTGGCTCTGGCTGGCTGCCTGTATTGACTGAACGAGCTTCTAAGCTCATCGGCCGCGACTCAGGCCTCGCGGTCTGTCTCAGCTGCTGGAATAGCTCGCTGTTCATCTTCTGAGCAACTTGCAAGTATGGTTAATGTTTGTAACAAGATCTAAGGACGGTAGGGGAAAGTTCCTGAACTAAGAAAGTGTCCCCACTTCGTACCTCACCTCTTCACAGCAATATGTTGGATCAGAACTTGCCATATTTTGTTTTGTTTTTGAAACAGTGTCAGCATGGCATGCCTGTTATAGTTGGATCATTGAATTGTGCTAGCAGTCATTTCTTTCTTACACCTGTTGAACCATCTTTATCGCCACTTTGATTTTATCGCTGTTCCTCCTACAAGGCTATCAAAAATACTCGACCAACTAAGCCTAGCTTTGTATTTTGTGTTTCTTCCACTTCGATTAATGCAATGTAAGGTGAGCGTCCATCTCATCAACTCATCAAGCACATTAATTGCATCAAGGATTTGCTGTCCTCTGCTTTAATTTGTGTAGGCCGACCTATGCGTCTGAGCTAACCGTGCCGGCCGGTTCACTGCAAACCATCTCACTTCAGGAAGCTTCGCAGTAGCATCGCTGACTTGCTGATTTACGTAGAAATATCGCCAGCTTGACGATTTTCCCCGGCACACCTGGCCGAATCTGCCGCCTTCCTTTTCCGATGACGTCATGTCTGTCGGTATGACGTCAGTTGACGTTATTTCTGGTGTATGGCGTCATACTGTCCTCGCTGACGTCATGACTCCGACGTGTGTGACGTCAGACCTGCCAGGAACCGGCCGCGGCCGAGTGCGTTTGTCCGACGCGGTGCGGTCCGGCCGGTTGGTGTCTGCCGCTGCTCTAGGAGCGCCCGCCGCCCCTGCTCGCCGCGCCTGCCGGCCGGCGCGCCGGCCGGCAGGCCGACGCTCGGCCGCCGCGGCGGCCGACGCTCGCCGCTGGCCAGTCGCCAGACGGGAAAGGTGGGGCGCGCCTGGAGACGCGTGCTGGCGCGGCGGCCGTCACGGCATGTGTGGGCGTCAGAACCGGACTGGTGACGACGGGAAAAACTGACCGCCGCCGCCGCCGCCGCTGGACAGCTCCGGATGGGCGGCGAGCGCAGAGACACGCCACTGTCAATGGGACATGAGTCTGTAGTGTGAGAGAACAGTTGCAGAGCTAAATGAAAGGGAATGGCAGAGCGATGTCGACTCGGAGCCCTTCAGCGATCTGCTGGGAAGCTGTGGCGCCTGGACTGGAAGTGGGATGGGTGGCTCTAATGACATAGGGCTCAATGTTTTTCGTTTAGATGCCAGGAGGGCGTCGCTAAGGTGACTAAACCTCATCATTCTCTGAATCACCAACGAGATGTTGACTCATCGCTGGCCTCAATTGAGCCCGCCCACCTGATCACTTATGTCACGGGGGAGACGAATCGAGTGTATCCGCCATCCCGACACCGTTACCCAATGACCTGTCATAATGGACGGCGATCGCTCGGCGCTGGGCTCACGGTGCACAGGGCGGGATCGCGTGCGTGCAGTGCCGGCGCCGTGTGTCTGCAGGGCGGCTCACGGCCGGCCTTGGTCGGGTTCTCTGTTACCGCCCGGTCGCCCCTTTTTGCACGCCGGTCGGGTCTTTGTGAGGCGGCGGCTCGTCCAAGCGGCTCACCTGTGCAGATGGTCGCTCTTTGTGACCTCCTTTGTGTGTGCTTGTGGTGTGATGGAGGAGATATGACAGTCGGAACGGGATTTGACAGCCTGAGGACGGGATGTGACAGTCCAGGACAGGATGTGACTGTTGAACTGTTAGCTGCACGATACACAGTTTGCAGGGCAGGATATAACCTTGAACCGCTGGCGTTTGTCGGACGAAATATGGCAGCTGGTTGACCCTCTGATTACACTGTCCCCAGGGTGGAATATGACAGTTGACTTGTGCTTTTTGCAGTCTGAGTGACAAGCTATGACAGTTGACCTATCGCTTATGCAGTCTGCAGGGCGAATTATGACAGTTGACCTATCGTTTATGTGGTCAGCTGGAAAGAATATTACAGTTGATCCGTTCGGGTCTGCTGGACGAGGTTTGACATTTGATATCCTGTCCAGTCCGTTCATTCGTATAGTGCTGGTAACTCGGCCATTTGGCGCTGATGATTGTATGTAATTATACGACGCTTTGGTTATGTGATGTGTTTGCATGTGCGCTTGATCTTCAGTATACAGCTAATGCCTTTGTTCTTTGATGATGTCATTTAATTCTAGAAGCTTTATCCGCTCGCTACAATCGGTATATCCTCAGCTTTCAGAAATGTAGTGAAAGGAGATTGTTTATCGATGTATGTGAGATATGTCTGATTCATGTGAGTTTATGTGCATTGATTTACATGTGCATGTAACCTTGTTGGGCCCATGTGGCCTGTTGTTGCATGGAAATATATGTTATGTTATGTTATGTAGTCCTAAAAGAGTCGCCAGTTATGCTTCATCGTATTTCATCCATAAAAATCCCATATGTTATAATGTCATGCATTGTCTGCACTGCCGTCAGGTCTACTACGCCAAGAGGAGGCGCCAGCAGAACCAGCGCGAGGAAGGCAAGAAGGAGCGCAAGATCTACAACGACGGCTTCGACGACGACAACCACGACTACGTCATCAAAAACGGCGAGAAGTTCCAGGACCGCTACGAGATTGACTCGCTCATCGGCAAAGGTTCCTTCGGCCAGGTATGGAGGCATAACGTGCTCTTAGATGGGAAGATTGAAGCAGTGTGACTTATGGTCACAAAGGGACTGTTCGGTGGATGTGTGTTTGATGAAGTGGCCTTTTCCCGAGGTTATTGTGCCTTTGTTTTAATTATGGGGACCGGAGGATATGGACGCCAAGCGTAGTTCCGTGTATTGTTTTCGTCCGTCAGTGCCAAAATGTAGCGCGTGCAAAGTTCTAGCCGCACATCGAAAACCATTTTCATCAAGGTCAAACTTCAAGGTCAAATTCAAGGTCAAAGGACGGGGAACTTTAAAAATGCTACGTCACCAGCGACTTTTCCAGCGACGAGCACCGATTTTAGCCAAAACCTCGTCCAAGGTCAATTGGACCATGAGGATCACGAAAATCGAACCCATTCACCCCTGAACCGTGACCTTCAAGGTCAAATTCAAGGTTAAAGGACGGGGAACTGAAAAAAGCCACTAAATTCGAGGAATCACGGTGTCTGTGAATTCATTGAATTGACTACCAGTCCTAACGGGACTTGTTGCATGGCCGGACATGCATTGTTTTGTTTTTGTCTCAGTGATTCAGAGTAAGTTTGTCGGTGTTTGTGAATACTCAATCGAGCAGAAACAATACAATGGTCGTTCAACCGACGTGTAGTTCAACCCCATATAGGGTACGAGTACCTCAACCCCAAACCCTCCCCACCTTACCCCACCCAGTCCATAGTCCAGCGACCCCATGCAGCACAGATTACGGAGTCCCCTGAGCTTTGCCCACAATTCCCTCCCACCTTACCTGTAATGTGACCCTAACCCACTCTGATAACCCCAACTATATCTTACTATCACAGAGGTGTAGGCGTGAAGCCCGTCTTTCTCTCACCGTTTCCCTCCTTCCGCCGCCAGGTGGTGAAAGCCTACGACCACGAGGAGCAGTGTCACGTCGCCATCAAGATCATCAAGAACAAAAAGTGTTTCCTGGACCAGGCGCAGATCGAGGTCCGGCTGCTGGAGATGATGAACCGGGCAGATGCAGAGAATCAGTACTACATAGGTAAGGGCTAGTCGCATAGGCAGAATCAGTAGGTAAGGGTTAGTCACATAGGCAGAATCAGTACTACATAGGTAAGGGCTAGTCGCTTAGGCAGAATCAGTACTTCACAGGACGTAAGGGCCAGTTACCTCGGCAGAACCGTTTGATGTTTTTGTTGATGAGTGGCTCGGTGATCTGGACAGTGAGAACTGAGACTAAGATTCAATGTGTCTTCTCTGATTCGTTTAAATTGTTTTATTAGGTAATACACGCAACAGAAGACTGTGCAAGATAACAGTTTATGAGTTGCAGTTCCTACTGTTTACTTTTGTTTCAAACAGGATACGATAACCGAGCAGTTGTCTCAAATTCCCGCACAACTGACCCCTCCCCATGTCATGCTCACATAGTGCGACTTCATACCACCCCTGCTCCTCACCCCCGCATGCGTCTTGTCTGCAGTGCGACTGACGTCTCCCTACGCGCCCACAGTGCGACTGCGGCGTCACTTCGTCTGGCGCAGCCACCTCTGCCTGGTGTTCGAGCTGCTGTCCTACAACCTGTACGACCTGCTGCGAAACACCAACTTCCGAGGCGTGTCGCTCAACCTTACGCGCAAGTTCGCGCAGCAGCTCTGCCGGGCGCTGCTCTTCCTAGGCACACCAGAGCTCAACATCATCCACTGCGACTTAAAGCCGGAGAATATCCTGCTCTGCAATCCCAAACGGTCGGCTATCAAGATCGTCGACTTTGGGAGCTCGTGTCAGCTGAACCAGCGGGTGAGTGAAGCGGTGGGAGACTTGGGACGCTGTAGGATAGTCTCAGCGGCCAGGTCTTCTGTGGTGCATAGAGAGTTTGAAGCTCCAATCGCATTAGTTGAGCAAACGCGATTGAGCTATCCACTCTGGAAGCCCTGTGTAGATGCTATAGATAGCTGTTACTTGTTAGTGTAATGTAGTAAGCGCTGTTTTTATCGATGAATTAATGATATTGAATTACTGGCAGGTATTGCTCAAAACATTCTCTCTGAATGTTTTAATTGACGTCATCAGCTTTATTTAGCAGTCTACCTCGGTGCAACTTAGGCCATTTTAGTCGTGTTGATTATGGTTGACTTTCAGTACCCTTGCGCGCTATCATCTGAGTGTATTTTCGTACCCGATCAATAATGACAAATATCTGTTCATAACTATGCACGTCAGTCCATATTCAGTCGACCTGAATCTTTGATATGCGGTCTTTTCTGGTCCCTGTGTTGTGTCGCATGCAGCGCTCACGGAATTATTTATACGATTGATCGCAATCTTTCGGTGGCCGCATTTAGCTCAGTGTGCCTGCTCGTCTGTGACGCATTGGACTCTTATAGTGTGATGACGTCTCCGCTTGGGTAGAACCTTACGGCGTAAACATATTGCACTGGTAGCTGATATTGTGCGTCAGCTCCTTAGCTTTTATATCTATCTAGTCCCGGCTCTCTTGTACTGACTGCACCCTTGCTCTTCCCCAGACTTAGCAGCTGTGCATCCAGTCTTATATATTGACAGCAGCTCTCATTCACTGTTAAAGATTTGCCTGCACATCCAATCTCTTTCCACCTGTACTGACCGCTCCCCTGTTGTTCCCCAGATGTACCAGTGCATCCAGTCGCGATACTGACCGCTCCCTGTTGTTTTCCAGATGTACCAGTACATCCAGTCTTGGTTCTACCGGTACTGACCGCTCCCCTGTTGTTCCCCAGATGTACCAGTACATCCAGTCGCGATACTGACCACTCCTTTGATGTTTTCCAGATGTACCAGTACATCCAGTCACGGTTCTACCTGTACTAATAAATCTGCTGCTGTTTTCCAGCTGTACTAACTAGTACATTCAGTCACGGATCTACCTGTACTGATAAATCCCTGCTGTTTTCCAGATGTACCAGTACATCCAGTCGCGGTTCTACCGGTCTCCAGAGGTCCTGCTCGGCATCCCGTACGACCTGGCCATCGACATGTGGTCGCTGGGCTGTATCCTGGTCGAGATGCACACCGGCGAGTCGCTCTTCAGCGGGACCAACGAGGTGAGGACGGGTGGTTGTAGAAATGGGCATCGCTGGTGTTTGAACAAGTTTACAGGTGACGTAACGTCAAACGCGTCAATTTAGACAACATTGTGGGCTAGTTATCGAAGTTAATGTTGAAATATGTTATGTTTGGAAGTGTGTTCATCGTGAATTCACTATAGGCTATTTTATCCCTGGACCATTCATGGGCCTGGCCGTTCGGGAATAAAGACTGGTAACCATATGGCGTGCTCTCACGACCTGCATTAGTCTGCAAGTGTGCGGGTGTGTTGCGTTACTGATAGCTAATACCCACCGTTTTAACTGACCGCTCCTCCCTTCCTTCTGCCAGGTGGACCAGATGAACAAGATTGTCGAGGTGCTGGGGATGCCGCCCAAGGCCATGCTGGACATGGCACCCAAGGCGCGCAAGTACTTCGACAAGCTGCCCGACGGCAGTTACGTGCTGAAGAAGACAGGCTCGGGCAACTACCGTGCGCCGGGCACCCGCAAACTGCACGACATCCTGGGCGTGGAGACCGGCGGGCCGGGCGAGCGCCGACTGGGAGAGGTCGGCCACGGCGCCGCCGACTACCTCAAGTTCAAGGACCTCATCCTTAAGATGCTGGACTACGACCCGAAGACGCGCATCACGCCGTACTACGCGCAGCAGCATAACTTCTTCAAGAGGACGAGTGACGGTAGTACGAACACGGTGGGCGGCGCGTCCAACCCGGGCGGCTCGTGTGGCACCAGTCCGGCTCTGGAGAATGGCACCGCTGCAGGACCGACCCGCGCCTCAGCGGCCGTCGTCTCAGGTGGGTCACCTGAAATGTATCCGAGGAGAGACCTTAGGTGGACGGGCCGCCATGGCTACAGTGTCTTATGAGGAAGGTTATTGCTAAATTAATGTAGTGCACTTGACCTAGTTCCCAGAAATATTACTAGGCTAGGTTTCCAGCATTCGGAACAAACTGCTATTCATTACAACTGCAGACGGTAGATGTTGCTTCGAGAAGAGGAAGAATGTTTTGGTCTTTTCGCGGAACAGTAGCTGTTGCGCCACTTATACCGTGCTTTGCTCTTGCTTGCTTATAATATGAGCCGCAATATCGGATAATGTATAATGCTACAGCCGGGTTTTATTTCGGTTTATTTTGGCCTCGAAGAAGCCGTCTAATGGATTACTGGCGCGCTCCAGCCCACTCTCATCCAAATAATCGCCGAATGTCGGTCAAAACACTGACAGGCGTCAGACTGCGGCCGGCAGTCTCATTCGCTAATGGATTTTGTAGGAACTCTGAGAGTAAAGAATCGGCGGTATTTTTCGATTTTTTTCTGGCTTTTATTGCTCGGAATTGTGATCTGTTGACTACCTTGAGATTGAAATATAGGGGTGGATCTAACGCGTACAATTTCACAGGTTATGCAGTTCAGCTCTGTATGTTCTGTATTAAGGTGGCCGTTCACTGGTTAGGCGCGTATTCAGCGCGCAATCGTTCAGAGCCTAGCGCGCGCTGAAAACTTCAATTATTTCAACTCGTCAGCGCGTAATTCGGCGCCGACCAGCCGACGAATAATCAGCTGACTGCGCTTCATCACGCGTTTGGCGCTGAACCGCAGTCGGCGCGCAGCCCATAGACTCCAATGTTAAATTCATCGCGTAAAGATGCCCGCCTAACCAGTGGACGGCCACCTTTAGTCGTAGAATAGCTGTGTTCATTGGAATGACGGTGCCTTACTGACAGCCCTTCTTTCTACATCTGCCGCAGGCTACCCGAGCTCCCGGCTTCGCGGTGACCACGGAGGCGGCCACCAGCACCCCCACGCGGCGCTGCTGCAGGCCGGGTTCGCCGGGCCGCCTGTCTCCGGGATGGAGTGCGAGTCGCCGCTGGTGTACCGGCCCGGGGTGGCCTCCGGTGCGCCGCCCGCCTGGCCGGCCGCCGAGCCGGACCCGCTGCTGGCCGGCTTCGGGCGGCTGCCGACCGCCGCGCCGCCACCGCCGCCGGCCGCCTACCGCGCGCACCACGGCCATCATGCGCACCAGCACCCGGCGCACCGGCTGCGCGCGCTGGAGCCGGCGCCGCTGTCCGTGTGCCGCTCGCCGGACCCGCTGTACGTGAACACGGCGCCGCCGCCGGCCGACGGCGCGCCGCTCAACATGCAGCTGTCGGGCTACCAGTCGCACCAGCTGCTGCCGGGCCACGGGCCGCTGCCGCCGCACCAGGCGCCGCCGCCCTCCTCCGCCACCGCCCAGTACGTCAACACCGGCTTCCTGCTGGGCTCTGGGAGCCTGGCGGCGCCGGCAGTCAGCGGCGCCGAGCCCTCCTCCGACGGCAGCCCCATGCTGGGAGTGTGCGTCCAGCCCAGCCCGCTGGCCAGCCACTGATAGTGAGCGCCGGCGTGCGGCGCCTCCGATGGCCCGCCGCCGGCCGCTCCGCCCCCGCCGGCCGCTCGCACCATGTCCATACTGTACACACCTGCCTCGATCTCATCATCACCCCGGGGGGAGTGGGCGGAGGCGCCGCCGCCCAGCCTGCGCCCGCCGCCGCCGCCGCCGCGAGTTGCCCGATAGTTGTGATACAAGTGTCTCGCTGATTGTCACTGCCCGTCTGGCCGGCGGCGCCGCGGCCGCCGGCCGGCAGCTGCAGGGATGACCCGAAGGCGGGCGGTGCCGGAACTGGAGAGTGAGCCAGCGGCGACGGCTAGCTACTCATGTTTCAGTTCCTAGAGGTCTCTGCCACGCCGCGCCGCGCCGCCGTGTGTGTTGTTTTATCTGGGCGCCCGCCGCTGACGGGTTTTATTGTGAGGTGTACCGGCGCGTTTTACCGTGTGTCGACCGTCACTGATCCCGCCCCGTCTTCGCCCGCCGAAGACCCGAGGGACCGGCCAACACTGACCGCAATTTTGTTATACAATCACGTGATCAAGCGAAACAGTTAATTGTACATACTTCGGAATACAAGGCATGAACTGCTTGCAGTGCCGGCATGTGATGGCTGAGCTCGGCTGTTTTGGAGTTAGATTAATCAGACACTTCAGGAAATAGGTGCGACATTTTATTATGTATTTGTCGTAGTGCATAGTTTAAAACTGGGACATATCAAACAAAGACTCTGGTTGCCGTAGACCAGTCATAGGGTGTCTACGGGTGTTTTCTAGAGGCAGGTGCGTGTGGAGGAATCGATCTCAGGCAAACAACCAATGTTACAGAGCCTGTGATCGCAGCTGGTCCGAGTTGCCACTAGATGGCAACACTTCAGGCGACCGATGGCACTCTTCACCGCATCACGATGACACATTGCCTCAGTCATTTTCTGCCGTTAGGTAACGCTGACGGACGAACGCCAGACTCTACCACTCTACTAGCCACAATCAGCTGCGCTGACTTACTCGGGTTTGACGTAGCGGCCCGAGAACAGAACCAGGCCGAGCTTGTTGTCAACAACGGCGAAGAAGAAAGGATGGTGAGCGAAGAACCTGAACGGCTCTGGCCCTCGGCAGGCCAGCACTGCGATCGGTCCAGTGGCGGCGGCTGCCTCAGTGCCCTCCTCGTTCACCTCAATGAACGCCTTGTGAACCACCTGAGAGACAAACAGGTCCCTGCTGCCCGATATCTTGGACAGGTCCGCCGACCGGGCGTCAAACAAGTCAGTGACGCCTAGCTTCTGCAGATGGCCCTCGAGGTTATAAAACGTCTCCAGTTTGAACTTTGGGATGCTGATGCTGGTTTTCCGATTGCCGAGACGTTTCACGATCGACTGGACTGGAATGCCAGCAAGCTTCTCCTCCAGCGCAGCAAGTCCATCTTTCTCGTCCGGCAGCAGCAGTAGCATGCTGAACCGCTTGCCTTCGTACGGAAGCTCGAGAGCTTTACATCCCAGCCCCGCGCATGAAGGGCGGCACCTGAACTGAGTGCCTTCCATGTGCATCATGCTCGTTTTGACAGCAACCTCAGGAGTGACGAAGAAATCCTCCATCCGTGTCGCCTCTTTGTAAAACTTTTCCTTCCAGGAGCCATTGAAATAGATCGCATTCACCAAAACCAGGCGGACTTGTCCGTTAAAAGCACTTGGATCCATCAAGTCCTTGATTTTTCCTTTTGTCATGGACTCCACGTCATCATTGATCAGCTTGCTCGTGCTTACTGCATCTTCGAAATCCACGCTCTTCAGATCACTTTGGTACTTGTTCTTCATGAGCTCGAGGAAGCTGTCCAAAATGCTGTAGGAGTTCTGGACGTACATCTTGTTAGCGGTGGTGAGTGTGACGTTCGGCGGGTCGCTCAGCTTGGCTAGCACCTTGCCGTAGCCGTTGTGGAGCGCCGTAGCGTCCTTGGGAAGAAGCTTTAGCGCCTGCCGTAGCTGTAGCTCCGTGTCTCCTGCGGCGCCGCCGAAGGCCATGGCCAGCGCCGTGCAGATGCTGAACGGCGACAGGAGCACGTTTTCTCCGCCGGCCGCCTCGGCAAGAAGTCTGTAAAGCTGGCAGGCCGTATCTCTCTGGTGTCTGGTGGCGGCATCCATGGCGCTGGGATCGATTCGAGAAGACGGGTACGGGCAGAGTCCGGCGGTCGCTGTCGGTCTGGCGAGCAGCAGCAGCACTGCCTCACCGCTCACTGCCTCCTCAACGGCAGACCACTGGCTACGCCTCGCTGAAAGCCGAAGTGAGTTTTTGCTCCACTTCAACAGTAGCAGTCGCGGCGGAGCCGAAATTTCGTTCAGTCCAAGGCTCTATGTGTTCACTGCTCAGTCACCTAATCGGGCCGGCGGCTGCACAGTGCACAGTGCCGTCTGACCAGCCGCGGCGGCGCGATGGCGGCGGCCGGTTGAAACCTCCACCAGCCTGATTCACTGCGACAAACGTCACGGTATCCACTGACGTAGACTGGTTACACATGAAACTATGTCAACCGTCACGTCCTCGCTGCTTCACAACAGCACCGTCCGTCGTGTGCTGCGCAGATCTCGACCCCACCTCTCGCGACTATTCCGCTGGCGACCGCGCAGTCGGTGTGGATATGTGCGGGAAGTCCCCGGCAGCCTGCTGGAATTCACGACCAATGCCATAGCGCCCACTGGCACTGGCCTCGTCCCTCCCCCCCCCCCCCCCCCCCCACATGGGCAATTGCAATGGGAGTCGAAATCAACCCGATTTTAGGTATTATTTTTATGGAGTAGGTAGATGTTAAAAAAGAATAGACGCCTGACCATCGCAGGTCGATGGCCTGCCTGTGGCAGCTGTCCCCTCCCCTTTTTCCGACCGCATCCTCCTCATGCAAAACCCGCTGCAAAGGCTTCGGCTTTGTGTCCGTTACGTGGTCTTACGACCTTGGCCCAACTGCTGGTCTCGTACCGCTAGCGTCATCTGTTCGTCCACAGCTAGCGCCACCTACCGCATGTTAGCCTCTGAGCTCGCCTCGTGCTGTGCTTAGCTGACCGACTGCAGCCCATCGCGGACTGTAAAAGACTGACGTTAACTGCCCTGTGTGGCTGACCTCTTGGCCCATGGGTCGTGATGGTAGTGGCTGGTGGAGTGCTACACCGCTACATCAAATCGTCCAGATTTGGTTGAATTATATTAGACTTGACGCATCGGTTTTCTGCATACGCTGGTCGATTCGGCTGAGGGAAAGGAGGGTTCGACCCGGATGGGGGTATGGGAGAGGAGTTACGACAGCCCTCGTCACTCGCCCGTAATTGAGCTAAAGCTTCGCAAAAGGAGCGCGTGTCTCGTTTCGAGTTACCGCGGATGTCCAATATTGGCCTCAGGTCAACTGATGACCTCTGAGGCCAGGTCACAAAGGTCGGATCTAATTTTCGGCCAATAACTTCTCCAAATAGGGGAGAGTGGGGTGGGTTGTATCAGTTTTTACTCCGAGACCCATAAACTCGTAACTATCCGTGATAAACTCATTATTTCCATACTGTCCCCTTCCTTGATTCTTCTGCTTTTTTGTGCAAAGTAACTTTTCCGCTACCTCTACCAGTTTTTCTTCTACGGTCTGCCGAATAGAACAATGTTTTTGATACAACTTGCCCCATGGCTTGGGTGAGTTGTATCACATGGTGGGGTAATTTGTATCACTATTTCACGTTTCAGGGAGTGTGCTTGCTACTGGTTTTGAACATAACAGCAACATTAAATGGGGTTAATACAATGCATAGGTATGCTCAAAGGCTACACTTTATTAGACCAAACTTAGGTCAATGCAATCCGAACGAAACATCAACAGACTAGACGCAAAAGTGGCCCGTTAAGAGCAAAGAAGCCAACACATTGTGCCGAAATGGAACGAGCATTGACTAGCTACCTACAAACGCGAGCCAGGGCTTAGCTTTCGCGATCAAAAGCAACATACCCATACATACATACATACATACATACATACATACATGTTACAACATACCCCACCCGGCTCTGATACAACATGTACCTAGCCGCCATCTTGGAAAAACATCCTCGTGCTAAAAAAAAACAGCGGACAGCTGGAGAAATCCGTTTTCACTCACGCAGCCTTAGAACCTACCCTCACCACCGCTACGGAGATCTTTCAAATTCGTGCACATCTAAATGCCCAAAACACACATTTTCTTGCAACTTATTTTTTTAGAATGACATTAAAAAAAACATAAAATCGGCTCTCACCTCGAGACGCGTCCACTCAGCCACAAGACAGAACAGGGAAAGATGGCGCCCGGAAAACCTCGTCGGCTGGTCGTGTCGCGAGCGCCATCCATTGGATAAGTTTGGCACAATTCGCCCTGATACAACTTGGACATGATACAACTCTCCCCGCTCTCCCCTACTGTCGGTGCAACAATTTTTCCAGCATGCTGAACTGAGTGGAATAGGCTCCTGGCTTAGGAAACATCAACATAAAGTAATGCCATGTCAGGCATTGACAGGGCAATGCCTTGTCAAGGACGGTCGGGTCAAAAACTTGGCCAAGGAAAGGGATGATCCATGTCATTCGGTTTGGCACCTCAATCTGAGTTCTTTAGCGCCTTTGCTGACTCGCTAATTCAGTTCTATCGGGATTTATTGACTAAAAAACTCGACCTCGACTGGCGTTACGCGGAATTGAAATGCAACAGCTAAGCATCGGACCATGCATAGATAGTATGCAAATTGCAATCATGAACACGATCTCCATACGCTGGGAGTAGCATAAGAGCATTTTCGACTATATAAGAGCCGCTTGCATATTTGCCTGCCCTTAGGTATTGATTTACAACGAAGAGGTCACTTGACCGATTATACCTCAGGTAATCATCCCTTACGAAAAACGGGACACGGGTACAAATTATGCCTAAGGACTTTGGAGTTCCTCTCATTTTTTAGTGTTTATAAGTGTAAGTGTATATTCTCTTGTGATATAGGTTCCGCGCTGGTACTGAGAGCGCTAAGAAGTTCCGATACCGATTTTTTTAAACATATAGAGGGCAGAGGCCCGTGCATAACGTCGTAGGTCAGTGACCTGACCGGCCTGAAGATCGGTTGATGCCAAGAGATCGGCATCGGAAGAAAGGCTGCAGGTATACCAAATTTCAGCTCTCATGCTGAACCACAACGAACGATATTACGATATAAATGATCGATGCAAACAGCCTCGCAAATTGAGCCGTCTAGGGATTATTCCATCGCACCGTTTAAAATAACAACCTATCGGTAACTTTATATTACCAGCGACCGTTCAAACACGATGTTTGCTTATCCACGCTGAATTCTTGGTTTGGGTAGGGTCAGCGACTCCTTCGGCATTTGTGGGTGTGTGAACCATTCCTCCAAAAGGTGTGTGGAACGTGTGGAACAATTATTCATGAGGTATAGCTATGAAAGCCAAGGTCAACGGTCATCCGGAATGCGACCGAGAGCCGTTTTGACAAGGAGCCCTTTGTTTCCGTTCGAAATTGGGAAAGTGATGGCACCTACATAGTTAAATGCTTTGGCGATATTGTCCCGTGAAATTATTTATGGTGAGCAGCCCGAACCGGAAAATAAGCAGTGAAGCGGGAGTCGAGAAGTGTCAAACGCCGTTTGTAAGTTATCCCAAAGCTTGTCAGAGGACAGAGGTATGTATGTAAGTACGTACAGCCTACAGGTCTCGCGCGTTTTAGCGGTAGGTTTTGCCCCTATGAAATTTAGTAAATTTCCGGCTATATCTTCTTCGTCTAAAGCTTTTAACGGTTGGAGATGCGATCGATTTATTCGTACACACGCCTGCTATGATCTTCTAAAATGGCTTCAGCGCATAGGTATCGATTAGTGTCTGAGATATAGCCGGAAATGTAAAAAGGCAAAACCTACCGCTTAAACCCGCGAGAGCCGTACATTTCGATATTGTTTTCGGTAAGCTGAGAAATTCCGAAGGTCTATCCTGGTTACCCGACTTAAAGGCGACAAACCACGGTCAAAGAACATCGTGGGCCGTGCGTCGCGGTCTCAATGAGTTATAGGAGGCACAAAAATAGCAGCAGTCATCTGTGAAATTGCACGACACACTTTTATCGACTTATGTAACGCAGAACCGCGTGAAGAAATGGAGGACTCATCGTGACCTATCCCATCCGGGCAGAGGACGCGCACCTCGCCAATCGCCGGGAATGCGCCTATTCTCCGCTTCGTAACGGTGCCCCGAGGCACCACCGTCGGCCGCACCTCACTAAACAACCCATTTGTCACGTGACACGTTACATAAGGCTTAGAGGATGTCACGTGATCATGTCCTCGGGCACGGCGCTAACGACAGCCGAAAACTGCCAAGGTGACCGGAGAATCCCGGGAAAACACAGACGAGAAGACGCACACACACACTCTCACACAGACAAACACACGCTCTGGCCGCCGGCCTTCCAGAGCCAGTTTTGGACGCGACTATAAAACCGACTGGTCACAGGCACGCCCCAGCATTCCAAGGAGTTTTGTCGGGACGACACCAGCCAAGGATACGCCAGGTGAGATTTTAATCAGGAGCCCCCAGCAAACATCTGTTGACTCCTTGTTGCGAAAGAGAGATACAAGAGGAACTTTTCATCGCCAGGACCAATATTGATTAGTAACGTTTAAACATAACGTTTGAACGCAATGTTCAGCTTAATTACGGATAACACGATAAGAGAGATATACCTACATTTATTCCTGCCGTGGTTGACAATTTCAGTAAGATGTTTCATCAGGCTATTTTTAATTTTCATCCGAGGCATATAGACTACTGATACAAAGAAGTGTATGTCCGAAGTCATTTTTTATCTTAGTCTTTCTAAAAAAAATATCAATGTTATCCGGCACGCGGGCTGGGTCGGCTGGACTTTTGGAGCCAGCTTAGGTCAGGCATTAGGAAGAAGGGAAATGACGCTTAATTGGACGGTATCAACATCTTATCAAGGACGATACAACACCACGCTATTCCTTTCTTGGCACCCTCCAACCACATCTTGCGGCTCTAGCAACCCATTGCTGTGCCGGCAGTATGAAGGTGACGGGTACCCTGACGCTGCTGTGCTGCCTGCTGCTGCTGCTGCCGGCCGAGGGTCAGCGACGCCACTACCGGGGCCGGTCAAACCGCGGCAGGAACCCCGGCCGCGCCCTGCGCCGGCTGGCCACAGCTGGGCTGCTGTTCGGGGCCGGCACCGCCGTGGGAGTGGCGCTGGCTCGCGGAAAGTGAGCAACGGGGGTGGGAAGAGGAGGGCCGAGGGTGGGGAGGGGAGAGAAAAGCTTGGGTAAAGGAGAGATCGGGCTGGAAAGGAGAGACAGGAGTGGCGAAGTTATGAAAGAGATTGGGGAAAGGCAGAGATGGGTTTATGAAAGAGTAGAAACGAGCATGGAGAGTGGAAGCACGAACACGAGGAAGGGAAGATAGGAAAGCAAACATCGACCGGATATTTGTTTATATATTGCTTCTCAATCTAATTTAAACATGTTTTTTATGTATGCATAACATTCACCCCGCCCTCCTCCCGTCGACTTGGAGCGGTATCTAACACCTCCCCTTTCCCCGCCCAGGAGGGACGTCTCGTTCGATGACGCCAACCTGGGACTGGCCGAGGAGACCGTGCTGGAGGCGGTGCAGGCTGCCGACTCTGACCGCTGCATGGAGCAGTGGCTGTGCGACATCACGGCCCGGCCCGAGCAACAGAGGGCGGATGAGGAGCAGGATATGGTGCTGCTGTTTGAGTGAGTATGACATGGTACAGCGGCTTGCTGAGTTCGAAGGGGAGAGGGAGAGGGGGAAAGACAGAGAAGGAGAGAGAGAGAGGGAGAGAGGGTTGGGTGAAAAAGAAAGGGAAAGTTTATAATGAGAGCACTTTTTAATCAAGCGTTGCTGTTTCGGAATTGCTCAGCAAAATGAGGTGCGTTCTCTTCTGCAGCTCGTTTAGCATACCTACTTTCGAATCTGTACAGGGACCCGCAGTTGCTACTGTACACATATATTACCAATTTAGAATTGCGCTATTATTTGCTAAGTGCTGGCCATTGGAGAAAGGAAATGTAGTGCAAAGTATGGAGGAATAACACATGTTTGCTCCTAGGACGTATGTTTTGTATAATTCCTCTTACCGCAACAGATATTCTTCCAAAACTACAATCGTGCTATTTTTCCGCGCCGGTTGCCTCCCCAGATCCCGTCCTTGGTATCGCCTATAGCTTCCGTTCCCGCTACGTGAATGAAAGTCACGTGACTACTACAGGTTTGCGCTCAGTACTAACACACCTAGCCCGAGGGCCGGTCCGTAGCGGGGAGGGGTAGAACGCCAGAGCTCCAGCGCAGTGGAGGTGGTGGTGGCCCGTATCATAAAGAGGCAGCCGTAAGCAGAACTACAATTGCCGCAGTATAAGATTATGATCAAGTTTTCTTTAGATGTATTGATTGACAAGAAATTGCAATGCTTATCCGATATAATAAAACGGTGTCCAAGGCCTTGGAAGAACGATAAAACATATTTAGCAACGTATAAATTTCTGATACAGGCCATGACCTTTCACTTTGCCTCCGGGGAGGACCGCTCAGGAAGCCACATACCGAACGAATCGAGGCCTCGCATCGCGGCGGCAGAGGAGGTGGATAAACCATCGCCAGATCTTTCGGTTACTTATGTTTCCAGAAGAAAGAGGGGGGAGGTGGAGGGTGAGGGCTGTTTTCAACCCACTCACCAATCCTTTCCTTATTAACTTATAGCTTACCGAAAAATGCAACACAATGGTGGCCGTCACGAGATGTAGCGAAGAGTGCCTCAGCCACACCGGTTTTGAGTAAACTTTAAGCATTGGAATTCAGGCCATTGATCCTGAAGCATTATTTTATTTTTGTCGTGCATAAGCTGGGATGACGTGGTTCAAGTTAATTGCGAAGAAACGGTTTTAGTTTCAGAACATTTATGAGGCTAGTCGCGCCAAATAGTATACGTTTTTTGCAAAATGTCAAATAGAATGTTGACGTGCTATCCAGATGATGGAATTTATTTGACACAAGAAGTCAAAAAGTGGAATCGTTAGTCATCCTGCATACCTATAAATCGATTCGTCATCTTGGTTCGAGCTCAATAGTTCTTTTCGCGGATGATCGGTTTCGTTTTCTTTCTTTTTTTTTTGGGGGGGGGAGGACAGATTATGAGCCAGTAACCACCCTCCCCAGTCCCCCAAACAACAATTGTTGACAAATACTGTGATGGCCTAAAAAATGCCCTCAATTGTGTGACGTAGGGGAGAATGAGGTAAGTTGAGGTAAGCCGCTTTTTGTTTTTCGTAAGCTACAGGCTAACTTACTGATCATTTTTCTGCGTTTATACGGGTTGTACGGATAGAGTGGTGATTTGCGCATGTAATGGTGGCCAGAAATGTTTCATACCGCTTATTTTTGTACTGAAAAGGCTACATCAAAAATCATCTTGCACGTTGCTCATCTTACCCCATGGGCGGGGTAAGCTGAGACACGTCGTGGGGAAAGTTGAGCATGGATAGAAAAAGCGAACCTTTTCATTTCCCGGGCGCGGCGAAGAGTGAGCTCTTTTATTTACTCCATGGCATAGATACTTATGGCAAAGTTTTTTCCTCCATCAAAAAGTGACTATTTTAAGCCTTCCAATAGCTCGTAAATTTTCTATCACGGAAGAAATCATTTTATCCTTCAGATAATCTGCAAATCACTTACAACTTGTGTCAACAAAGATCAACAAAGATCAACAAAGAAAAACAATTTGCTACCTACCATTTTTATTCAGCAGAAACAAGCGCAGCTCAGTTTGGTTTTCGACAGCGGAGACAACAATGGCTTATCCGGCTCATCTTCCCCCAGGTGAAAATGACTCATCTTGCCCCACCCGTGGCCATTTTCGATTAATGACACCCGCTAAGGAAAATAACCATGCACCGCAGATAACAACCATCTCATTTTACAGGCAAAACATGTCTTAGTTATCAGGGGCGATACCACATGTTACCGGGTGCTGAGCGTGAGAACGTTGCCGTCTCACGTGAAAGACTGCAGCATCGTAAGCGAACGGCACATGGAAGCTCAAGTCAATTAGCGCCATATAGGAGCTGAGAAACATGGGGTGGCTAAACTTGCCCCTTGGCTCATCTTACCTCACTCTCCCCTATCTGGGGCTCTCAACTTTGATTTGTTAAAGTTGTTTGTCTGTTCATTATAAAAGCTGTCAAATTTGCCGTATCGTTAAACTTTTATTGAGTTTGTATTTCACACTTATCTAAAATGAACAATTTTGTCACTGGCTTCTTTTATGAATGGAATTGGATGGTCGCATGAATGAACGAATGAATAGCTCCATTTGAGCATCAGCTGAAATCAATCCTAAAATTTAATCTACCAGTCTGCAACGAAAAGGTTTAAAAACCAGTGCAAGTTAGGTGCAGTTTCTAATCTATGCCGTTTTTTATTAAGTGTCTCATAGCTCCTTAATCTTGAGCCGCTTCTCTTACGATTCATTTGATGTGGTGCTTACATTGTTCAAGAAGTAGTATTCGAGCTCGTTGGTCTTAAAAACTGCTATCGAAGTAAATTAAAGTGTTTCGGGCTTCGGCACTTAAAAACCAATCGATATTTAACCCTCACCCACTTAGGCATTTCTTTTCAGCGTCTTATATGTAGCAGAGGGGCGTAGAAACCCTCAGCCATTTATGAATAGCCAGAGCTTCGCTGAAAAATAAAAAAGAGCGAGCTACTTGTGGCGAGAGAAATCGGATGATTTGAGGGCCCTGGTCATCGCTGACGAGAGAAAGCCAATTATTTTTATGTCCTGGTCAATGCTGAGATCTTAGGTCACTAGTTGACCTCCCAGATCAGGTTAATAACCCAAAAGCACGGAAAATTGGGTCCTGCTAGAATTTCTACAAGTGAAGTTTGCTGGGACTTGGCTTGCTTCTGACTCCGAATTTGCACTTGCTTTGATCAAATATGATGTATCAAAGCATTTGGGGTAGGACGGGTCACGCCAGACCACCCATTAGGCGTTCTGCCGGCTATCCATAGAATGTTAACCAGCACTTACAGCCTTGCAACATATTGCATAGGCACTATAACTGATACCTAAGTATGCCTAGTTTTCAAATGCTAAAATGAGTGCTAAATTTCAAACAACACTTCCTAAAAACCACAGTAAAAAGGTGAAAATTTAAGGAAGTTAACCGAGATCATTTCAAGTAAATGACCTTAACTTGAGTTTCACGTGACCTTGGCACCCACAACAATCAATGATACAAACATTAGATAGTATATTTCACATGTTGTCACGTTGCTTATCACGAAACGACTATAGAAACACACAGATGTGCGCTGACTTTCAATTGCTATTCTGGCCTGACATGATCTTGAGAAAAATAATCACAGGTTAAAGGTAATTTGGTTCAGGGATTTAAAATTCTCAGACAAGATGCCAAAATTATCAGGGCTATTTAATTTTCCGGGAAGTTGTAAAATTGATTAACTCCAGGGCACCAAAGAATCGTCGCAATCCTTCGCTTTGCCGCGATTTATTGGTGAAAAACAGGGGGCGCGGTCTACTTACCTCTACTTATATGTGTGGTGAGGGCTAATATTCATTTTACCTGTTATTAATATGCAACAATTTCTACATGAACTGAGACCAGTCCATATGGGTATGTTTTTCTCACGGACAATGACAATATAAAAACAATGCGAATAAAACCAAACGTTTCGGACAACAACGTGCCTTCGTCAGTGGAGAAAAATAAGTGTATAGGTTCAACATCGATGAGAACTATATGCGGCACCGTCTCGGTGTGGCCAGCCGGGTTGCCGATAAAATACACAAATGTTTATAAGCTTCCATGATGTGCTTAAAAACTGCTGAAAATATATCTTAAAAAAATAACTACTTCAGCGATTTTATCGAAAGAAAACATGTATGCCTCATTACTTATTTCTTGCCACTGACGGAGGCACTTTTTTGTGCGAAACGACTGTTTTATTCGTATCGTTATTGTATTGTCATTCCCTGTGAGAAAAAAGGATAACTCTTCAGTTAGTAACCATAACAGCGAAACGGCTTAATGTAACACAATTCACTGTGTATACGAAACCTATAAGTCCCTAAAAATAATCCTATTTACAACTTTTAAAAAGATACAGCTTATACAGCTTAGGCATATAATTTTTTCTGCATTAAGATAATATTCATTTATCTCCACAGAATATGGTAAATTAGTGCTGCTGAAGTTCGCTTTCGAAGCGTCTCCTCCAGGCATTCCACAGCTCTCGTGCCATTTTGGATCACGGAACATGGCTGGGCGCACGACAGGCCGTCTGCGAGCTTGGACGGACCACGTGACCACCTCCTCCCCTCCCCCTCACTCCCGTCCCCTTCCCCAGCAGGGCGTCCGATCTAACCGCGCCCCAGGCAGTCGGCTCGGTCCGACCCTCCGTCGAGCCACGGCCCGAGGCCGCCTGAGTTTGTGCCGGGTGCAAAACTGGAGCAGTAACTAGCGCCGGAACTAGTAGTCAGCACGACCATCGTCAGATGGCAGGAGTAAATGGAATAAGCGGTTCCAGGTTTCAGAAGGAATGGGGCAGGAAAAAGCGCTGAAAACAATGTTTTGCTGATATAGCCATAAAAAGTTCACTGAATTAGGAGAGCAGCACATCAGTTTAAAGCCCTTCAGATTGTGGTTTTAATAAGCACACAATCATTTCCCAATTCGCCTCCAACGGTGTCACAGGCAAAGAATACGCTGAAATACTAGTGTGTACAGAAGCAACTGCGGGTCCCTGTACCTGGGTATTTATTGACACACGCTCCTTAGCTGTCAGCAGCGTAACTGGATTGTCCCTATTATTGGTGCCAATCGGAATTTCTTTTCTTGGAATTCCAATTTTTGTCCAATTCCAATTTGGAATTTGGACGGAATTCTTAACATTTTTTTTGGAAATTAATCGGAACACAAGGCCTTTAAAATTTAAAATGTTAAAACGGAGGCCTTTAAAACGCTTTTAAACACTTTTAAAATTTACGCAAAAAATGCAAAAATCGTTAAAAATTGGAATAGCCCCCGCTTTGGACAAAATTGGAAATTTACTTGGCAATTTCTTGGAATTGGATCGGAATTGGAATTGAAATTTCATGAAATTGGCACCACTAGTCCCTATATCTCAGGAACAACGAACCGCCATAACCGTGCCACCTCTGACCGGAGCCGTTTCCTCGTGTGGCAGGGACGAGGCGGCGGCCGGTATCAGTGACCAGCCGGGCTCCTTCCACGCGGTGTACGTGGCAGCTGCCGCCCGCGGCCTCCGCGCTGCCGCCGAGGGCGACAGGAGCTCGTGCCAGCTGCCCAGCTGCCGGCTGCAGCCCGACCAGCTGCTGCAGCAGCTCAGGGCCGCCGAGGAGAGCGAGGAACGCTAATGGGATGGCGACGGTAGCACGCAACCATCGGAGAGCGTTAACATCTGTAAGGAGGGCATTAAATCTACCGTGTATGTAGGTACTTGTAGAGCTGATAGCAAGACGCTGCAGAAAACGCGATGCTGCAAAATGCCGAAGAAGCTATTGAAAGTTGTCTGTAGCTATCGAAACAGCACCTAAAAGAGCGAGCCCGTTTGGTAAACGGCTCTGAAAGCAGCACGTGTGATTGGATGGGCATTACTTGTGACCGTGACCTCATGATGACCGTGACTCATGTAAATAAACACATTTCACCAGTAAAAGGCTCGGTCTTCAGGTTTTAGCGCTACATCAACATGCTGCAGAATGCACATTGGAAAATGCTAGCATATGTACGAATACTATGAATGGTTTATCCTATCTGCGTGACAGGGCTATCTGTATACATGAGCGCATGCGGAACAAAACAAGTGACAGAGGGTAACACTTAACAGTATTGAACGCTATCACATCACATTCTCTTCATTAACCCTCGCCCGCACATGGGGGGGGGGGGTGGTTGCCACCCCCCCCAGGCAGTCTTTCTGCTCTGCACTCAACAGTTTTAGAGCTAGAAGGCTGATTTGTGGTATAGCTGCTCCTCTATCCTTTTTTAATGTCCACTGAAAATTTCAAGTTTCTGGGATTTTTGGTTTCGGAGGTATGACCTTGTTTTTCAGGTCATGTCATGACCCAAATGGCCAATTCTCAACATCTTGCGTTTGCCATGGGCCTTGTGAGCTTTTGACACCTTGATTTCGGCCTTTTTTGCCAGTCTTACCTTCCACCTATCATGGACCATGTTGTTCGACGATGTACAGGGGTCAAGGTCAGGGTCAAGGTCAACCTAGGTCATCTAAGATAATTGCGTTTTAGGCAAGCTGAATTTACTTTTTGTGAAGTTTTTTGACTGCATTTTTGGTAAAAGCTTCTCAGATCATGATTTCATGTAATATGGACACAAAAACAATCGGTGCACACATCAGTATACACACATACACACACAGACATACAAACACATATAATTGACCTTGACCTAACTTGACCTGAAATGACCTCAGCAGCAAAAATCTGGTCGGGTAGTGTGACAAAGAGGTTCTAGCTGGCTCGGCACCAAAAAACAGCATCGTCATCGGTATTTGATAAGCAGCGCACTTGATATCCAACGGTGACCCAAAACAGCAACATTTTTTAGTTTGACCTGACCTGGAAGGTCAATGACTGACCTGAGAAGGTAAAACTGGGTATCATTGGATTTGTCTCTTCCCAAAGAATCTTTTTGGTCTTTACCGCTAAGCTCTATCTCCAACAGGAACGAAATGGCGCAAGGGGGGTGGCAACCCCCCCCCCCCCCATGTGCGTTCTAGGATGGGAAAATGGCATGTGCGGGCGAGGGTTAAATACGACTCTCAAATCAATCGCCAGCAATCAAACGTAGGGCAAATCAGCTATCTTCTGTGGTTCCAATCTCTGTACCTATGAATCTGAGTCGCACGTACCGCGTGATCCCCTAATCTCCACATTAGAGGCGGGTGGGCATCAGAGCGATTATCTGGGACCGCTCCATTGGCTGTGGTCGAGAGTATCGGGGGCCACTTCAGATTCCCTCGCTCGGCTTTATCTCTGTTACTATATTGCCTCTTGATCGCCTCTTGAGTCGAGCTCACACACACACCGATCAACCCACAGGAATAGTGCAGCGCTGATAGATATAGTACGAGGGATCATGCTGGGAATTTGAAACGCCTTTTGTAATCTGGCTGTAAAGGGCGTACCGTAAAATAACTCAGCCAGCGTTTGATAGATAACTAATCAGGACTGATGTCATTGATATGTTCGAAATGAACCCATGCCATGAATTCTATAACGATCACACTCACCATTTATGGTCGTTGATGTCTCCAAAAAATGCCGCCGAAACAAGCTGTATTTTGTAAGATACATTCCCTTTTAAAATGTCAGCCTTACCTCTTTAGAATGAGGACTGTTTAAGCAGGCAGTCTTCTGCTACAACCAGCTGCTTTACCTTCCAGGATATGCATTCTGCAACCTCTCCGAAACAGAAATGAACATAAATGTCACGCTGTTGAGATTGGCAAATGAGTTGAGCTAGGGGCTTCTCATGACACTTATGATTTATCTATATCTCGTGACACATGTCAACTAATGAAAGTTACATAATAAATGCATATATTGAGGGGAGCGATGCGCTGCTAAAAAAAAACTGTCTTGCGTACTATATGCATCGCATAGACATTGGGCACAAAGACGAATTGATCATATCTATGTTCAAGTTTACGACGCATGTGCCATTGTAACGATGAATGGTCTTGTGCAGCGAATGATCTTGTGCAGTCTTATCGCGAGTCTTACTGCCGCTTAAGCCATCACAATCAAACAAGATTTGAAATAAAACTTAATTGGTGCAGCTGAAGTTACTAACTTTGCCAACGCTATCACTGCTATCACTATCATAAAGCTATCACTATCACTGTTATAGCGTATCCTGCAAATCACAATAAACTTTATAGCAACGTGATTGTAATCTAGTGTTTTTCCCAATGCTCATACGGATTTAAGTTAATGATCTCGAACTCTGCGTATCTCGAAATCTAGAACATATAATGCGTCGCAGGATAAAGATACCGGCTTAAGAAGCACATCATTAATATATTTGGTCTGTTGAAGCTTGTTTCAAATCGAGAATTAAAAACAAAAGTAGGTATGCATAGAACTACGTATATTGGCAGACTACATTCAAACCGTTTTAAGAAAAAAGTAGCCTTTCTAAGTTTCTACTAGCCTATCGCGTTACGTAAGCATGAAATCGCTGTATACATGACGAAAGCACATCTTTTCCCTTCTCACCCTGAGCTCAAATATGCAACAGACGCACAAACAGCGGCGGATTTGTCTCCCGCCGTGCCGGCCCACTATCTCGGCCACATGGCTATACTACAGCGGCAGCGGGGGCTCTCAGGCGCGATATCAGGGCTTCAATTGCTCGTCGAACAGATATGAGCACTGTCACTTCGAGGGCCGATGTGACCACCGACACTGACTCGCCAGATATCTGTGGGGCGGCGCTGAAGAGAGGCGGACCGACGCAACGTCTGACCTGACCCGACCTGACCTGACCGGAACGCACCCGGTCGACTGGTCCTGACCTTTTCCGATCCATGATCTAAATTAACCTTCTCAGTCCCTTTACGACCATTCCCAGCCCGAACCGATCAGATTTTAAATCCGACTTGATCTGACCTGCCGGTGAGATGATAATTCCCATGGACCGAGTGCGGCGGGCGTGTCGGATACGCCACCCCATTATCCGAGAGAGCCTGGCCGAGCTGATTGGAACAGCCACGCTGGTGGTAAGTAGAAGTGCATTTCTGCAATCTGCACATACCAGACAGGTAGATGTATACCGGCACGGGGCTTTAACGTAATCAATTGCTGGATCCGCCCCCAAGAATTTTGTCGGTAGATAAGATGAGTTGATTATTGAACATGTGCTTTAATGATAAGGGTTCATTGCTTTCATACTTGGCATTGCTTCTGGGAACGACTAATGGGCACACTTCTGTTGCCTTTTTGAGGAGTTCAAAAATCTGTTTAGGCATTTAATTGGAAATAGATTTCAATTCAACCAAAGGGTGCATTCGGGACATGCATGCAACTAAATACCCAGAGCTTTCATCGCTCATGATCAAGACATGGTCATGCACAATCAAGTCAAGTCGTATAGTCAGTCATGGTCAAGGTCTTTTAACATCCACAAATAAGACAAAAAAGCATGCATTACACATGCCGTGGCACCTTTTGCTAAAAAGGGATGCAATGATTTGAATAAGGTGATCAATGATCATAAGTACCTAATGCATGAGCCGTCAGGTAAGGGTCTGCTTTTTTGTAGAAGCTCGTTAGCAGCTAGCGATAGCGAAATAATGACATTATGCTTCAAAATCAAGGAGTGTTCGTCCGATACCTCTTCCTATCTACAAGTGCAAGGGTAATTTGATTTATGCTTCATGCAATGTATTGTTACTTTCAGCATTAGGTCCCACATTTTTTGTACGTTTTCAGTACCGTTATTTTTAAACGTTCTCAGCCCATATATCAGCTAATATAGATAATCCCCCAGGGCGTCATTCAATGTGTTCACAGTTTTTCGGCGATGCGGCCATCGCCAACAACATGATCATCGGCAGCACCACCGCGACCGTGGTGAACGTGCCTCTTGGGTACGCCACGGCCCTGGCTCTGGCCGTCTACGTGTCGGGCGGCGTGTCAGGTGAGCGAACGGAGCACGAGACAATCTCACCACTGTGCGCATGTGCCATTCACATGCAAGATGCGCTGCCTTGTGAACTTAAAGCGGGAGTGATGTTACAGACGGCTTATCAGCTTTCGAACAGGCTGTAAAAAGCTTGCATTGCTTCAGAAGATGCAGTAGATATATACCTAACGTTTGAATTATTTGAAGTGCGTTCTAAAGTGAAATCTGAAATGTCATACCGCTGTATAAAGAACCCGAAAATGTATGCGTACTTCACAGTATGTGTAGAACGGTAGACTCACTAGACTCGATGTCAATATACGCTAAGTGGCGAGTATGCAAGTCGAAGATAAAAAACCTAGAAATCAGCAGGACGCCTCGTCAAAGGGATTGAATGTGAAGTATGATGAAATCGTGACACAGCTCTACATAGAAGCACCCCTAAGGTATTTTCCAATGCAAAGCCTGTCATTAGACGTTACAATGGATCACTGCGATGACCTTTGACCTGCAGGAGGTCACGTAAACCCCGGTGTGACCTTGGGAATGTGCCTGACCGGTCGCTGTGACCTGAACCGGCTGTTGCCCTTTACGATCGCCCAATTTCTCGGCGGATTCCTCGGCGCTGCACTCACTCACGGACTCTTCTTTGGTGAGTTCCACGCTGCTGTGTGGGATGGGCTAATTCCATACCTAAGATTTGCTAGTAAGTATGGTAAACCCGCTCCGATGAATATTTTCATGGCATTATCCTCTATTCTGTGTTATCTTACCGTGCCTTACTCTATGCACAATGTAGTAATTCATATAAGTAAGATTCTCATTTATTTGCAGATGTAATCTTTGCACGTTACTTATGATGTACTATATATTTTAATCACTCAAGGCTTCGCGAATCTTTTTTAACTTGGGGCCAGGCTGTTTCGGTTCCAGTGGGACTCTGCACCAAACTGTTTGGTGTTTATTTATAACGTGACGAATCGCAATCCAGTTTGCAACTGGCGCCTGCAGCATAATCCCAGCTCGGCTTAATAAGTTCTAAAAACGGAAATTATCTTTTGCAGATGTTTTCCAAGATGATTCCCAGCATACAGACGAGCTATATGCTGCTGTTTTCGCGACATACCCCAATGGATTCATATCTACTGGAGGAGCGTTCCTGGACCAGGTAATTATCATCTTTTGAATTAAACATGCATGACCTTGACCATCTTTTGAAAAACATGCAACGTCAGCGTGGATTGCTGACTGCCTTGCCTCCATGCCAGTGTCATTGTGTGGAACAGAGAACAATAACATTGAAAAAAATACAAAAGACAAATGTAGTCATTTTCTGATAGTTTTTATTCGTGAATCATGCACTTCATTATCAATTATCAATTATCTATTTTTTTTGTATTTATTCAACAGACCGTCAACAGGCACTTGACCCACTAAAAGACGGAGTCACAAGACTAAAAACAATAAATATGGCACACACAGGCAGCATACACACGCCGGGATAGAAACGCAGATACACATGTAACTAAAATAGAAAACAATGAACAATATAATGAAATAGGCAATGAAGTGAAAATATGAAGAAAAAAAATGTGTGAACGACCACTGAGCATAAGTTTTAAAATCCCATGTAAGGTGGGAAAGAAACCATGATACAAGGTAAACCAGAATAGCTGAACAAACAGTAAATATGAACACAGAGATAAACGATGTATAGGTACTTTAAAAACACGTAAAAAAGTATAAAGTGAAATGAAAAAATATAAGAAAACATTAAAAATAGACATATTTAAAATCATAAAAATATAAAATCTATGGGTATGGGCTATGTTTCCATTGAAGTTTAAATTCATTTCGTATGGGCTGTTCATGAAAGCACCGTTATAACTTTTTCCAGAATTCCGATTATATGTCAACACCCATTGATTGCATAGAGACATGCAGCCATAGCCACAACCCTAGGCCCTATGTAGGCACCGCCCAACGCTGTCCCCAGGCCATGGGCACTGCGATGCTGCTGTTTGGGATCATGGCCGTCACCGACCGACGCAACATGGAGGTGCCCAAGGGCGGGGTGGGCGCCGCCATTGGCCTGGTGCTCTTCGGGGTGATCACTGCCAGCGGCTCCAACACGGGCGCAGCGCTCAACCCGGCCCGCGACTTTTCGCCGCGCCTCTACAGCTACATCATCGGCTACGACAACGTCTTCAAGTGAGCTCATGACGAGGGAAATTTGATTGCTGATGGGTGGTTCTCGTTATTGACTAACTTTCGGCTTCAACAATACTTTACTTCTAATAAAGTCCCTATAATTGATATTTTTCTAGCTTCAATGCGACATGGCTTTGGCTTTCATTCGACACCCAAACATCCTAGAATAAATTGTAGGCGTCAATCACTCAAGTATGGTTGGTTTCTAAAACCTCGTCGACCATGCATGCCTTTTTTTACATAACATGGAACGAGCTCGACAAGTAAACTGTCAAAATACAGCTTACCTATAGTCATACGTACTTACCCACAATTACATATTTCAGGGCAGGCGACCACTTCTTCTGGATCCCGCTGGTGGCCTGCTACGTGGGTGCCTTCATCGGCGCCTACCTCTACTTCTTCTGCATCGAGGTGCACCATCCGGACGAGCTCGAGGAGACTCCCGCCGGCCTGGAGCTTCAGATGACCCCGGCGGACGTCAAAGTCACTCGACCCGCTCCCTCGCAGGGCCACCACAATGGTGGATTCCGGGACGATGCGGACTATTCCAGGGGTGGGGGTTTCCCGCGCGACTCCAGGCACCAGAGGGGTGCTGGATACCCCAGGGATCCGGGATACCCCAGGGATCCAGATTACCCCAGGAGCGATGCGTACCGGGATAACAGGTACAGCTAGGGAGATCACAGCTCGAGGAACATGCACCTGTGGTCCCACAGAGTGCCTGAGAGCGTCATGTCGGTATGCATGTGCTGAACGTTGTATGTATTTCATAAAAATCAAAGCTTCACTTTGTCACCTTGCTATAGCAGAACCTAAGGACCGATAATAATGGCATGCTAACTTAATATGTGATCGCTTGATCGGAAATATCGATGACGTCATTGTCTCTGTAAGCGCCTTTAACATCACTGTGACGTCATTGCTGCCCGTTGCAATGAGTGGACGACAGTTAATCCTTTTTATTGGTTTTTAGTTCCACTAAACCGAAGTGCATCGTCCCGTAACCATCTGAGACATCCTCCCCGAACTGACAGCGCTGGCTCCTCCGTCATCCTCCAAAGTTTCTCGACTAAGAGTCATCTCCACCTGCATCAGCTCCAATACTCTACCCCACTCTCACCCCTCTACCCACCGACGACATTTGGTGGCTGCAGTGATGGCCTCACCTGGGGGCGCAACTTGCTGAGTGGGCGCCCCGCAGCCTCCTCTCTGGCCTTGGGGCGAAGATTAGCCGGCAGACGGACCATTTGGCCGGGTGCCAATCGGACGAGCTGGTGGTGGGTACTTGAATGTCCGTGGCGCAGTGACTGTGGAAAATGGGCGCAGGAAATCGACTCTAGAGATGCATTGGTCGAGCCGCGGCGCTGTATTTCGCAAGAGTATCTTATAAGTGTGTAGCTAACATGACAACAATAAAAATGCAGTCATATCCGGATTCATTGACTTTTTACCGTGGTAGCATTTACGCATGTCAGATGACTGAGCTGTTTTTTATCGATGAGGCTATTATTGGCTGACACTCCGTCTGGGATTTCCGGTAGCGAGGTCACGTCTCATGGTTTGGTGAAATGAGGTTCGGGATCCCGAAATATACTGCGTTGACACTTTTTACAGCGCCAAGAAAATCCCAGCATTGAGTGTCAAAATAAAATTTATATTGGCTACCCGTCTCCCTCACAACTTTTGCAGATAACTGATAACATTTGCAAAGAAGTAAATGTCGCTTTTTAGTACCACCTGGCAGTTTTACACTGCTCCCAGACATGTGCAGGGCAAGGCCCTATATACCGTGCAGGGTCTGTACAGCATACAGGCTATAACCAACGTTGCGGACCAGCTTGATTTGGGACGGTTATCCTTCGACTTCATGTGAGCAAACGGTCAGGTGACCTTTTAAGAATGGCAACGGTTATAGGACAGATCAAATGACTTGATAGCCAGCTTCCCGGAGAGAGCTGAGCTAATGTAATTTTTGCCAGATAGATCTGTAATTTCAGTCAACTAGCTAATTGCCTTAACCTGGCCCTTCACTTTAAAGCCTGTTGATCACGAATTAGTTACTGCGTAAAAAGAATGTTCAAAGCGCGTATCGTCAGCCTAAAGGCCACAAAACGTGTAAAACGATCACCAGCGCGATATACATAAGGTAAGATATATGATAAGTTCTCTCATGAGGTAAGAGCTATGTGGATGTAATGCCGCATTGTTATTGTCAGATTGTCGACTTGAGAACTGGAAGCCAAAGTTCTGGCTAGATCTTTGAATCAGAAAGCACACTCATACGGATGTGTCGCGAAAGTATATTGAGTCATAAATTACACGCAATTGAGAGTAGTATCAGCCCAGGCAGCAGATACCATGTTTTGTAATGCCACTAAACTCTCCAGCTCGCCATACTGAAACGCAGTACACACGACGGCATCCCTTTCTCCATCTTACCACCCCAGATTGCCGGTCTGGACGGCAGTGCACACCCAAACTGCACCCATCTCTCCGCCTGTCCTTCCCTTGACCTCTGCACCCCCGTGTGACGTCACACCTGCCGGATAACCGTGTGACGTCACCGCGACGTCGTTCCTGAATATTCCCAGCCGCGAGCGGCGCTGTCACGAGCCGCTCCGTCGTTCTATCGGCTGTCGGTGGTTAGTTGTTGAGCCAGAAGGCGCCGACGAATAGTTCAGGGTGCGCCTGGCGCAGCGCAGCGTACTCGGGGATCTGGTCGGGCTTCCGGGGCAGGTGCTCGCCCTCCGGCTGGAAGCCGCCCTCGTCGGCCAGGTAGTCGACGCGGTATTTCTGCTGGTTGGGAGCGAAGAACTCGAAGCTGCCCTCCTTGCTGATGGAGCCGGTCTCCGGTTCGTCGCCGGGGTAGCTGCGACCCACCTCCTCCACCTGTGGACAAGACGGCAGGCGGTCAAAGTCAGCTCTGGTCAGGACACGGCCGATATGATAATGTGTGCAATAGACCACTATATATAGACCACTATATAGATATATAGTGGTCTATGTGTGTGCCTGAAATGTACTGTCGTAATAAACTCCGCAGAAAGTGGAGAAGCAGGCTTAGCATCGCCGATTCAATTCAAGTACATGACTTAGTAAATATGGACAATTTTGCGATACCATCGATAACAAGTACGAAGGACGCTTACGGGCATGTATCTTTTAGCGTGGGTATTTGGCTGCATGCCAGTCTCTAAGCGCAAATTGCGAGTGACTTTGAAGGACTGTTTGAAGGATCCTGGGGTCATCGCATAGAGTTCTGTGACAAGACCAGAAAACAGTTACCAACTGAAAACAATGGTCACATAATGCAGCATGCACAAACATACATATGATGGACATGGGATAGACTTCAGATGGACATGAAAATAGACGGTAGTACAAATTTGGGTTCGGATTCATACCTTCTGTCCGTTGTCCTGTTCGTATCCGTACTCGTAGTTGCCTTTGCCGTCCTGGTTGTAGTACTGGTTCAGAATGCGAATCTCAGGCTCCTCACTCTCCACCAAGTCCTGAGGGGCCGCGGCTGCCAGGGCCACCACCGAGAGGAGAATAACCTGAGGAGTGGGGTGAGGCCGTCAGGTGACGTGGAATGACAATATTTTATCTTTATAGGGGGCAATGGACAGTTTTACACCCTCGGATTAATGTTCTATATTGGGTCAAATAATGTGCATATTTTGTCTTCCATTGATGAAGAAACAAAAAAAAAAACTTAAACTAACCACTACAAAACATCAACAAACACTGTTGGATCCAGGAGGAGGGCATTTGGCGAAAATACCTCCCCCCCCCCCCGAAAGCACCCGAAATTGACGAAAGTTTGCAGTTTTTCGAAAAATAGAACAAAAACTCAACAACTTTTAAGAGGAAACTTTTATTTTAAACTGCACAGCAGAGTGGAATCAAAACCCGATGTTTTACGAATTTGGAGAAACTTTTTGGGGGATATGCCACCCGCAGCGTCCAAGACTTTCTTTCTGGATCCGCCAGTGATGAGGATATACTGTAAAATTTAAAGACACAAAGCCGCATAGGTGAAAAAGTCCGTCGTCTTACCAGCTTCATGTTGTCTGATGTGCGTTAGGTCACTGTCTGAATGTGTTCACCACTTCGAGACGACTGTTGCCGCCATCCGGGCCAGCCGCTTATTTAAGCATCCAAAACCGGTTCCAGTGGCGAAGGAGCGCGGCGACTCGAGTCATCAGCGACCCGGAGGTACTCACTGACTCAGCCACAGATCAGCGCGACTCTAACGCAGCTGTGACGCGACCATCTCCGGGAAATGTCACCCTCGACAATAAAACCGATAATCCGGGGTGATTGAAAGTCGATGAATTTGGGCGTGTTTTCACCGTACCCATTCCGGAACTCCATCCAGCTGCTCGGAAAGTCCACATTGGCGCAGATGTTCTCAGACATTCATCAGCATTTATGCATCGTGCATCATATGTTATTGTCATAAAGGAATCATAGCCGTCACTTTAGCTCTGGGAAATGTGTGTAATACACTGCGCTGAACTGGACTTTGATTGCATTTAGCTGTCACCGGTAGAAGCAGAAACTCGAACTGCCTTGCTGCATAGCTGGAGGTGTGTAATGTAATCCTATGTGGTTCAGGTTATGCATAGGCGATTGAAAGTATGTAGGTAGGTAGGTAGGTAAAATCTGTATTTTTATCTGCCTATAGAACTTAAGCAAAATAACTACATGTTGCATTTTATTTCCTGTACCTAATTGATCCCAGCAGGAGCTCCCCATGTCTTCAGTGATATTTGTTGAAGCTGTTTGCATTTGAACACTTCATTTGAGCGCTTATTCCACAATAATATCATCTGGAGGCATGCAGAGCGAGCTTATTTTCTAATTATATCGTATTGGTATGTCTTTTCTTCTCGAACTCATTCAACGCATCGCAGGTCACTTTCAGAGGTTCGCATGTGGAGAAATCTGATCGCCAACGTGCGTGACGGGAGCTATAGTCCCGGGCGATGGCCCGAGCGAGACGAGCGTCACGTCTCGACCAATCAGCGTCCGGCAGAGGTCGCCGGCGGTCAGCTGACACCCGCCCCACCCCCACAGAGATGCCCCCAGGCGCTGTGTGTCACTCAGTCGCGTCGGTCTCCGGTCTCGTGCTGCGTGAGAAAGTGCGTGTTAGTGATCTTGTGCTTCGTTTTGCATTGTCGCTGACCTTCAAAACTGAAATTCAAAATTGAATTAGACTGGTCGTTTGGTCCTCCTTGGATGTGGCATTAAAAATAGGTAAGCGGAGGAGCTCAAAGTTCTCGGTCGAACCCTGGATGGATTATGGAAGACTCAGACACCGTCTGATGCTGCTGTTTGCTGCCTCACCTCATCAAGATCAACGAGCTTAATTCCATCCTACGGCGAAGTAGGTAAGTACTCAGTTACAATCTGTATAGTGTAGTAGTGTCCCTCGCAGAGTTTAACTTGAGGTGAAAGTCACCTAAGAAAAATCCTTGTCTGAATAACACTCGTCATGCAATGGATGGAATCGCTTGTCTTGTCACTGCTGGTAGTGGTACCAATACCGCAGCCTGTTGTTCAGGGACAGATCCAAGAAATTTCTTTAAATTCTACATTTCTAGTCAGTATAGGGTCGGGACGACATTGAGGCACCGAAGGAATGTTCAGCCGATTTACGAAATTATTTGTTACCAGTAAAACGCCTTTTGGGCGAAGAACGAGCGAGCGAGATAGTGAGCCCTGCACGTGCGGAAGGGCAAGAGGGTGCTTCCAACGGGCTTGCGCAAAGCACCCTTTTAACCGGTCGCTAGCGGTGTGCCAAATTTGAACGTAATCGGCCCAGCCGTTCCTGAGATCTGGAAGCGGCATTCTGCACGTGCGCACGCACGTGCAAACGGGTCCAAAATGACTTTTGCACGGCACCCTACTAACTGGTCCCCAACCGTGTACCAAATTTGAGCGCAATCGGCCCAGCCGTTCTCGAGATCTGGAAACGCCCCCTGCACGTGCGCACGTGCAGTAGCACTCTAACCGCAACACATGGGAATGCATTGCGTGGTGGGTGCCTACTTGTATGCCAAGTTTCAGCGAAATCGCCCAGTAATTACCGAGTTATTGAAATGGGAACAAATTTGGCACCTCTTCTTTTTGTATGTTGCACGTGCAGTGGGGGTCACTCACATAGATCAAGAGTATCCGACCTTTGGTAGAAGGGATGCAGCTACCCTACAAAAATTACCGCAAGACAATGGCCCAAGCGGCTGCTGAGATATGAGCCTCTCAAAATCACTACTTTTGCAAAACAGCTTGAACACCCTTGACTTTTCACGTGGCACGTGCCACGACGGTCACTGAGATGTATCAAAAGTAGTCAATTACGGGGTAGAAGGGATGGGGCTACCCAACAAAAAAGACCGCAGGCCAATCGGTCCAGCGGTTGCTGAGATATAAGCAGGGTTGTATACGACTCAATCAATAGCAATCAATTCAATCACGAAAAAATTTGGGAAACCAATCAAATCAATCAAGTCAGAGCAGTTTTCGGGAATTGATTCAATCGACTCAAACGCGACAATGAAAGGAATCAATCAACTCAATCAAACGACTCAAACCAAGATATACATTAGGTTTTTTGCCCCACCAACTTGGAAAAGTGTCCATAGCAGTCTGGTGTACCTACCTACCTACCTACCTACCTACCTACCTACAGAAGAAACAAAAATATTGTCATTTAAAATTATAAATTGCCATGCCATTCAAAGTTTCTATGTTGATGTAATAAGGAAGGATACCTAGTGATGGACAGGTGGATCATGATATTGAGGTTCAATGGGTAGAATTGGAGCAGAAGTTTCATTTAATGGGTGCAAAATAACCCAGTAGTTGACTTCAACAAACGCCCCTTAACCCAAATCACCACCTTTCACCAAAAAGTTGTCAATTTAATTTTGGCCATATTCCAGCTAAGTCATCAGGCCATCTACCCCAGGTAAAGCCCCCGTCTGTCTCTTATGTGAGTTATGCGGAGCTCTTCTGAATTGAACCCTGAACATAATGAACCTAGCTAGGTTACATGCCACACTGACACCATATTGATATGAAAGTGTTGAAAATGTGCTACAAATTTGACAACTTCATTAGGTATGCTTTATGAAGACAGCAGGAAAGCAGGTAGGTAGTACCTACCTGCCTACCTACTAGGTACCTACTTACCTGCCTAGATGTGTCACTGGCTACCAACAGTACCAACGAAGGTAGATAGGTTATATGTGAAGAATTCAAAACATTTTATTGCAATACAATTTGAAACTGTTAGGACTGGGGGATAGGGATGAGCATTAAAAATATATTTAAAAGGAAATGGAAAGGACAGGGACTCTGGAACCACAGGATACGTTAATGACAAAGGAAGAAGAACAAGGAAAATTAAATGCCGTTGGTGCGACTGCGAAAAAACAAAGAAAACGTGCCGGTTTTGCCAAGAAGTATGCTAAGCTTTTATAAATCCTTACTCTACGTCTTTTGATTTTTTGGTAAGATGACGTCATTGATTATCATGTAGTATGGTAGATCATCATAAAATAAATCGGTTGTACAACACCAATTTCGTTTTAATTATTATTTCATTTGAAATAAAACCACTTAATAATATTCGGTAAAATATTTTAAGGAAAATGAAATATATTAAATATGTTATGCCTAGGCTCTCAGGAGAAAAGGATCAACAAACGTTCTGCTGCAAATTAAACAATGCAGCAAATTAGCTATTAATGTAAACGTAATTAGCGAGACGAAAACGGCGCTTTTGTTTCAGTTATTTTTGTAGGGGTTTCAGATATTTATAGAGTTCAGTGGGTTGTTTCTGAGGAGATGTGGAGATGTGAATTAGTAATTAATCACACTTTATTAGTATATAGGGCCTTGCACTTTATCATCTGGATTAAAAAAAAGTTTCCTGCTGAGTGCAGAAAGGTAGGTAGGTGCATCGCCAGGTTCTATCACAGGATTGGAGCAGTTATTGCAGTTGAAAGTCAAAGTTGGCTGTTCATGTTTAGGCCCTGTTCTTTATTTGGCCATCTACCCCATATTGCAGTTGTGATGACAAGCAGTTTTCAGTGTAGTTTTGTGATCTTTGATGTCATCAATTGGTGTCATTATTTTTCGTCAACTAAAACTTATTTCAACTTTCCATTCAATCGACTCAATCATACGAGTCACTCTAATTTTCGGGAATCAAATCAGTCAACCAGTCGCTAAAGTCAAACGAGTCAGTCAACCAGTCATCTCGAAAAGTCAATCGACTCAATCCAATCAACTCAAAATACGCGTTGAATCAAATCAATCAATTCAATCGACTTGATTGGTATACAACCCTGGATATAAGCCTCTCAAAAGCGTTACAGGCCAGGCCGGGCCGTGCCGGGCCGCTCATACTGAGATTTTTCCGTTATATTGAAAAGACTCACTTCGCTCGCTGCGCTCGCTCGCTCGTAACAACTCGAGTCCGCCGAGTCTGATACACGACGATGTTTCGGTAAATATTTACATAAAGTCCGATCCATATTTCAAGCATAAATTTTGCATATTCTTACGTTATTTGACATCCTGAATGTAGATATGATGCTTACATGCGGCGGAAAACAGTGCTACCATATTAAAAATATTTGCTACCATATTTGGGGAAATGTTGGGAACCGGGGTTTTTGGGTGGGGGAGGAAATACAATGCCGTAAGAATGGTTATGAAAGTTGGGGGAAACTGTTGGGAACCGGGGTTTTTGGGTGGGGGAGGGGGGATCGGGGCTTATGGGTATGGAGAGAAACCCCGGTTCCCAACAGTTTTCCCCAACTTTCATGACCATTCTTACGGCATTGTATTCCCTCCCCGACCCAAAAACCCCGGTTCCCAACATTTCCCCAAATACGGTAGCAAATATTTTCAATATGGTAGAACTGTTTTACGTCGCATGTAAGCATCTTATCTACATTCAGGATGTCAAATAACGTAAGAATATGCAAAATTTATGCTTGAAAAGTGGATCGGAGAGATAAAATTTACTTACCTCTAATCTAGTTCACCGTGGTTTCGAAAAATACGCTGGACGCGTTCCTCGTTGCGGTACGCAACTGAAACTAGTTCGTATTCCTCCCACTTGCACCCGGAGCACAACGAACCACCCGGCACGGAAGCCATGATCCGACTGGCGGGAAAGCGGAAAGCACTGGAAAGCACCTGCTAAAACTGGTTCAAACCAGTTTGCTCAAACGGAAACGGAAGTTTCTGCTCTATATTGCAGGTACGAATGGAAAGAAGTTTACGTAAGGTCATAGCTATCAGGCATATTTGATAGAAAAGATATCATAATTATATTATTTGAACATAAAAAATAAATAAAAAATCATCAAAAAGCAATTTAAATGTAAAAGGCATTACTTCTTCTCTATTCAAATTGTTTGATGAAAGTGACGTCAAAATAACAAAACACAAAAAAATGTTTAAAAAATTGGAGTTTTGTTGGGAAGGATAGGAAAAAAACACGACAAAAATTGTCAGAACCTAATCTAACCTGACCTAACCTGACCTACTGATTTTTGCCTACCCGGGGATAAGGAAACAGTTGCTCGCATGAATAGATTGCAAGCAATGGTAAGTCAAATATTTTTAGGTTAAGTGGTTGTGCATCAGGCCTCAGGCCTTCGGCCTGAGGCCAGATACACAACCACTTAACCTAAAAATATTTGACTTACCATTGCCTGTAATCTCTCCTAAGGCATTGCCTTCGGCACTGCACCGCTTCGCCACGATCATTTTCATGACGTCACTTTCATAATGAGATTGAATAGCGTAATGTTTTCACTCAACCTTGGAGTTTATTCATTCGATCCATCTCACGTTGCGCAAACGGCTGGTGGAGTGCGTTGACGGCGGGTGTCGTGGGATGGTGGCCGGCGGCGACGGTAAATTTTGCGCAGTTGCTTTAAAACTTGGTTGCGCCATGAATAACTATCAGATATGGAATCAGGAGCTCAAAATACATCGAGTGGTGTGGTTTTTATAATCACCTTGTTGATCGGACCTTATGTATATAAATACCGATGTTTCTTGGTGACCATTTTGCCAATATTATTTAACTATGCCGGACCCTGACCCAGGGGTCGTATAACCCGGCCTGGCCCGGAGGCACCTAATCCCATCTACCGCAGCAGGAGGCGGGCGTTTTTCACCTCCTTCCCTGTCTAACTCAGTAAATAATGAAGCTACGGAAGCAAAAGCGGTAACAGACGAAAAGTCTTCACGAGACGATTTTAGAACTTCCAAAATGTTTTACCTCAGGTCAATTTTTAAGGCCAGAGGTCAAGGTGAAAGGAAACCCAGGACTTGTGAAAGTGAAGGTCAAGGCCATGCTCAAAAGTGACCTCAAACTTAACAATTTCTCGTATATCTTATGTATATACCAAATTCCAAAATGTCTTGAAATATTTTTTTTCCAAGTTTATCAGACCCCTATTTGCTTTTTATGTAACGATGCATGGCTGTCCCAAGTTTAAGGTATATGCAAGAGTTAAAGATCGACCCTACAACGTCATCAAGGGAGCTGGGTCAAACATTTCTATTCCAGAAAATGTCAAATTGACGGGAAAAGTGCACCAATGGTTTCGTGCTCCTGTCTCTAAGCATTTGGGAGCTATCACAATTATTCGGCAGGGGAGCTTAAAACGCATCCACCCGGCCCGCAAGGGTTAAATCACCTCCGAAATCCCAAGCTGATCCTGAGACGGGTAAAATTGGATGCTATTCGTTATGCTTCCAATATGTTTCTGACGGTCAATTTTCCCGTAAATGTTCGGCGAAGAACTAGCTCTCAGTCAGACCCCAAACGGCGAGGTTGTCGAGCTAGTAGCCCTCCACTTCGACCAATATTGATATGTCACGAAATTGTAGGACATCGATGGGTCCGGACTGGTTAACCTCTAAATCAGCCCAGCTTAGCGCCACAGCCGACTGCGCTGCCGGCGCCACCTGTTCACGCTGCCCTAGCGCTGTCTCACGGCTTCACACACCTCGTACCGTGACACTGGCGCCCCTCCACGGTTTTACAGCGTCCTCTGCCGGCGTTACGCTGTTGTAGCGCAATCTCACGGCTAGATATACCTTACCGTGACACTGGCGCCTCTTGGAGACCTTACCGGGCGTCATCTACTGGCCCACTAGAGCCTGACACGACTGTTCATTACTTGATCACCCAGTCATAAGCTGCTTAGAAAATAGTTTATTTATGCTATTTTGTAAATAGAAGCATAAATACCTTCATATATTTCACACATGATAGATTCACACGAAGTAGCATCACAAAGGTCACAGTCGGTTTTCTGCGGTCAGTCGGTTGTTTGAAGGACACACCTTAGTCCTTCTTGATAAACAGATCCGGATATTGCTGGCGAATAGCGTCGTATTCTGGGATCTGGGCAGGAGCCTGGGGCAGGTGGGCACCTCTCGGCTGGAAGCCGCCCTCGTCGGCCAGGTAGTCGACGCGGTACTTCTGCTGGTTGGGGGCGATGAACTCGAAGCTGCCCTCCTTGCTGATGGAGCCGGTTTCGGGCTCCGGTCCTGGGTAGCTGCGACCCACCTCATCCACCTGGCGCAGAAAGGGGTTCTTATATTATAAAGTACAAAGTAGATTTCAGGTCTGGCAGTTGAATTTAATTTGCACTCTTTTTATTTGTCCTGCAAACTTGGATACTTTTACGACTATACCCATACCGATCATACCTTTTGCCCGTTGTCCTGTTCGTATCCGTACTCGTAGTTGCCCTTGCCGTCCTGATTGAAGTAGTAGCTAATCAGACGGATCGGTTTCTTCTCGTAATCCTCGTCAGCGATTTGTGGGGCAGCCGCAGCTACGGCCAACAGAACTGCAAGCACGACCTGGCGAACCATACGAGGGTAATGACACTATACATACAAACATGTAAGAGTATACAAGAAAAGAAGGGAACGATGAGCGACCCTAAACGACAACTTGAAGAACTAGAGGAAAAGGATGAAGGTGCCGGCATATTAGCCCCCAGAGCACGCTCGCCAGCCATGTTCAGCTTGGCTTCAATTAGAACAGGAGCGTCTACGAGCGTCTCGTATGTGCATACAAAGTAATCATTGTATTTCCAAAAGCATCGAATGCAAGGGTTGTGGCGTCTAACTACTACTAACTACTAACCAACTAACTACTACTACATAGTAGAGAAGCACTATGGATTCTTGCTGTTGTTTTACACACGATTTCGGACAGAAACAGTGGCACTTACAAGTTTCATGGTGAGCCTCTGATGAAGCGTTGAGCAGTGCTGAAGCGATCGGACTCGACTGGTGCCCTATCGAACACCAGTGGGCCCTTAAGTAGTGCACAGGCGGCACTGTGGTCTGTAATGCGGTCACCTCACGCCTGCCTGTTGTCACCTCAGAAGAAGCGA